GCGCCTTGCAACCGCAACCGCAACCAGGGGACACATTTCCACCCGCCCGCGTTACCGCAACCGCAACGGCAACTGGACGACACATTTAACCCGCCAGCGCAAACGCAACCGCAACCGCAACCGAGCGACACATTTCAACCCGCCCGCGCAGCCGCAACAGCTACCGCAACCGGGCGATACATTTCCACCCGCCCGCGCAACTGCAACCGCAACCGCGACTGGAACTGGGCGACAAGTTTCAACCCGCCCGCGCCTTGCAACCGCAACCGCAACCGGGCAACACATTTCAACCCGCCCGCGCAACCGCAACTGCAATCGGGAGGCACGATTTCACCCGCCCGCGCGCGCAACCGCAACCGCAACCGGGCGACACATTTCAACCCGCCCGCGCGCGCATTGGCAACCGCAGCCGCAACCAGGCGACACATTTCAACCAAGCCGCGCAACTGCAACCGCAACCAGGCGACACATTTCCACCCGCCCGCGCACCGCAACCGCAACCGCAACCAAGCGACACTTCAACCCGCCCGCGCTACCGCAACCGCAACCAGGCGATACATTTCAACCCAGCCGCGCAACCACCCGCGCAACCGCAACCGCAACCGGGCGGCACAATTCAACCTGCCCGCGCAACCGCAACTGCAACCAGGCGACACATTTCAACCCAGCCGCGCAACCGCAACTGCAATCGGGCGACACATGTCCACCCGCCCGCGCAACCGCGACCGCAACCACAACCAGGGGACACATTTTAACCCGCCCGCGCGCGCATTTGTAACCGCAACCGGGCGACAAATTCTTACTTCGGGTACACACACACACACATCATGGGTCACATTGCTCTCGTGTGCACATTCTCTTTTCGGTGTCCGCTCACCTGCGGTCCTCCTGCAGAGGATCTGAGGAGGAAGGAGGGTGGGATGTTGGAGGGAGGGAGGAGGCAGGAGGGAGAGGGAGGGAGGGAGGGAGGTGGGGGGAGCAGGAGGGGAGGAGGGTGGGGAGGAGGCAGGGAGAGGGAGTGATGGAGGCGGCAGAGAGGGGAGGAGGGAGAAGGAGGGAGGCAGGAAATGATCCACGAGGTAAGTAGGAGGAGGAGGGAGAGGAGGAGGAGGAGAAGATGAGGAGGAGGAGGAGAGGGCAATGAGGAGGGAGAGGAAAAGGAGGACGAAAGAGAGGAGCGGGAAAGGAGCAGGGGCAGGATTGCCCTGAGAGGATGAGGAGGAGGAGGAGGAGGAGAGAGAGGAGGAGGAGGGCGGCGACGACGTCGACGACGATGAGGACGGGGATGCGGCGATGGTTGCGTTCCAGGGGGTTGTAGGAGCAGGCGCCTGCGGAGGAGGGGACCCGATGGCTCGATTGTTAGGAATATGGAGGGCAGGAGGTTGCGAAGGAGGAGGGGGAAGACGATGAGGAGGACGAGGGGGAGGGGGAGGAGGAGGAGGAGGAGGAGGAGGAGGAGGAGGAGGAGGAGGAGGAAGAGGAGGAAGGGGAGGTAGAGGAGGTAGGAAGGAGGGAGGAGGTAGGAGGAGGAGGAGGAGGAGGAGGAGGAAGAGAGGAGGAGGGTGAGGAGGAGGAGGACGAGGACGCAGCTCTCCATCGGGACATTGCGGCGGGGAATCCCCATTCCACGTTGCTGCCTCTGAATAGATGGCCGTCCTTGACTGATCGCACTTGATACGTCACTCATGCCCGAGGAACTCCCAGGGTGAGCTTCTCGAGTCTGCGGCAACAGGCGTTTCCCAGCCACCTGACAGCCGAATTGTGGTGTCGATGACGTTTCAATGACGTTTGAATTACGCAACGTTTCAATTCATCTCCACGGTGCTCGCCCCCCCCCCCCCCAACCAACCCCGCCCTCCCCCCCCCCCCCCCCCGGGCAGGAAGAATCCCCCGTCCCCCAGGCAGCAGAGAAGGGTATGAGAAACCAGAGCATGAACTCGGTGTATATTGTAGTGGCCTCCAGCTAGTGCCGCCGATCTGGGACGCTTCCGTTGCTGCCGGAAGCGCACGATGGCGGCCATGACCGGCGACGACGGCGAGCAGTGAGGATGATGAGCAGGATTGGGAATGGAGGCGACGGAGTAGGATGAAGAGGAGGAGCATCATGATGAGGTGGAGGGGGGCGAAAGGGGGGAAGGGCAGGAGTAGCAGGATGGTGAGGATGATGAGGAGCAGGAGGAAGCGGAATTGGATATTTCTGGACAGGCTAATTGGTAACGACCACGCGAGACATTTACAGCCCATCAGACGTAACATGCATGATTCGGGTACGTCAAGACTGTACTTGCGTGTCGCACATGTCTTTACTACACCTGGCGCACGTGTCATCCATCGAACTCATGCGCACATGCCACGAGCAAACTGTAGGAGCAGGCACCAATATGGATGAGCACACGCGCGCTGAGCATTAAGCAACTTGCAGACATATATGCACATCTAGCGCAACGCCGACTGCGAGCACTGTTTACTGACATGTCGACACGGCGGGCGCAGCACCGATCATACACAACTCAAATGCGCAACCGCAAAACAGAACAGACGAACGCACAGCCACACCCACCCACACACACGCACACACAAACACGCGCCCACACACACATACCACACGCATCGCTCACAGGAGTTCGACCCCTATCACGAGCAGAGGACGACCAACGCGAACACACGTGTTGAGCATAGCAGGCACATAGAATATTCACACACGCGTCGCGCGCCTAATATGCATACACATGCGAGTCGTAACATATACCAACGCCCGAACTGACACACACACACACACCCTTACTCTCGGAAACAACATACATCACGCATATGGCTCTTTGTTGTGAGGTCCAAACTACATGTTATGGAAAGAAGTATGTCACAGGGCATGCATCACCATCATGGCATATTCTGTGCCTAGTTCCAAAACTTGGGTAATATGCGTGCACCGCAAGCATCAATGCAACCTGCACTTTGCATTCGGTAGAGGTACACCAGACATTTCGAATTCACTCGCGTCAGCTGTCTGGTGGGGATAGTTCCAAGCAGCATGCTGCTTGGTGTCCTGAGGCGCTTCCCCAACGTCGCTTTCTTATTTCAGACCGCATGGCCGTGCACAAAAGCTGCTCGGGATAACGAAACGGGGCGCGGAAACGAGTTCGAATGAGTTTCGGCGACCTCGTATTGAAACATCACACGTGCACTGGTGGTGCCAGGCGTCAGAGGAGTGCGGCTTGGATCTAAGGGCTGACTTAGGGGAAGAGGGCAAGGAGGTGCAGGAAGGGGCGGGGACGGGGTGGCAGCGACACTCGTGATTCCAACGGAAAGCATAACGCAGTTGAGCAGTCGTTCCGCCAACTTTCAGCTGCAGGCAAATTTGGAACGCTGCTTATTCGAGCTCGACTGCGGAAGTGTCCACCACTGGGGTCAGATGTCATGTTTGCTCGTGCCATGGAGGGTTTTCCAAGACCGAACGGAGGGGGAGTCGTGCGAAGCATCATCTGCCGATTGCCGCTACCACCTTGGTGGTAGCAAACAAACGTACGTAGATTTAGCGAAGGCGGTCAAAGCGAGGATCGAGGTGCATTTAAAAAGAGCAGTTCTGGGTGTATTGCGTTATGGGTCGTCATCGGCGTGGAAGCACGATAAGGCAGCTTTACTGGTCGCTTCGGCGGTGAAGGCTCGATGTGGCTCTACCGCATCTGCCCTTCTCGGAAATTGATCTGCCACGCGCCCGACACAGCCGCATTTCTTCCTCGCAATAGCGTGGCCCATCTGATCTTTGCCCACCCTTGTCACTGTTTGCGAGGTGGGGCATGTGGGCGCGCCACCGCCGCCGCAGTCGCCGAGCTGCCCGGGCCCTACGTTGTTCTCACCAGGCCAGGTGGGCCACTGTTGCCGCGACCACGCGCGGCACACGTGCACACCCTAGACTTCTCCAACGGTTGAGTGCCAGGGGAGAAGAGCATGGTCCACGGGATAAGAGCTCATTGCTTGCCCAGGCATCCGAGGATATGATGTTTTCAATGCCGTCGTTTTCAACAACGAATTTGGGACGCAAAACTACTCCGGGCAAAGGGTCGGGATTTCTGGGGCTTCGGATGGAACAAATCAGATCGGAGGAAATTGGGGGTCTGCCGCCTGCAACGCTGCGGCACCCTGGAGAATCTGCACGCAGGCTCATCAAGTTCTGGACGGAATTGCAAGAAAAGGCGCGCTCACTAAGATCCAGGTTTCTTGCCGCTGTCTTCCATCTGGATGTTGAATGTGATTGCCGACATGCAATGATGTTACGTTTGAGACGTTGCGTTGATCTTGTTTGGCGCTCGTTCTTGTTGCATTTGCCATCGTGACTGTGCAGTTGCCGCCGTTCGCATTGATGTCAATGTCGCGTTGTGCTGCCATTGGTATCCGCCACGGCGCCTGGGAAGTTACATGGCAATGTTGCAGCGTGGCACTGTTGCTGCGTTGCATGATGGTCGCGATCCCGCTGAGCCTTCTCGGGGCGTCTGCCCGAACTCTTGAGGACACCTTCTTTTCGGACATCTTGGGGCAACGTTTGGGGTCTGAGGGGGTCGCGAGGCCCTGCGTAGCTGGGGAACTTGCCTTGTGAGATGCGAGCCACAGCTCCCTTACCCCTAGAGGGGAGGAACAGCCAGCAGCAAGGGGGCGCCCTGCAACAGTGGCTGTGCTCCCTCAAGCGTGGTATACACGCTGTACCGATCCCAGAAGCAAAGGCGGTGAGAGCCACTCGGGGCGAGGCCGCACACCTCCACGGCACCAGGGACCGAGACAACGACACCGCTGGGCCACCGCGGGGGCCCCGCCAGACACACAGTCAGACGCACAGACTTCGAGAGGCTTGCCCCCGGCGGAGAGACCGCCGCACCCGGAACACCGACACCTTGGGCCGCACTTAGAGACTGGGTGAGCACCAACTCGGTTTGCACGATTCGTTGCTTCGCTATTCGGCCACCGCTCCCTCCTGCTCGTCCCGCCCCCCCCTCCCCCCCTCTCGTAGCCGCTCAGGCTCGAGCCCTGACTGGCCGGGAGCCCGCCAGGCCTTGCCCCCGTGGCGGCCCAGATGGTCCTGGGCAGCGCGCATTGACAGAGACTCGGCAGGGGCACCCCAGCGGATGCCCCAGGCGGTTCAGGACAACCCTGTTGCGCCCATCTTGGCCGGATGAGGGCCAGAGGTTGGCCCTTGCGGGGGTCGGGGATCGGGGTGCCGCCCTGAGGAGGTGGAGGGTCGGGCATCTGAAGATCGGTTGTCCCGCGCGCGGCGCAGCAGGTTGGGCGAAGTGGTGCGCGGAGTTCTGTGCGAGGGCCTCGATCGGGCCAGGGGGCCGGCTCCACCACGGGCGGGTGCCTCGGCGACGACGACCCCCGAAGCCAGGTTGAGACCTCTGGGAGGTTGAGCTCGGCACCGGCCTCCAGGGAGTCTTGCTCCTGGCCCTGGTTGGGGCCCGCGTGGGACTGTTGGACATACGTCCTCAAGGAAGGTCGGGCGGGGTCAGGGTCCAAGCCGGAAGGGTGAGGGATGTTCGGCGGGTTTCGAATTGGCTTCGATCGGTTAGTTTGGCATGGCGTTTAACGGTTTTGCGATTCTTTGTCAGGCGTTCGGACGTTCGTCGTCGAAGGTCTCAAATGTTTCTGAAGACTCAGCTGTGGCTGCTTCACAGGGGGCGGGCTGACAGGGCGAGAAGATCATGAGGCAGGGGAGAGGCGTTTCTTGTGCGTTCTGCACCTCCTCCCCCCTCCCCCCCCACCTGGGGAGCTCCCAAGGTCCTAGACCCCGCCTCCATTTTCCCGCTTTTCCTCCACCCCTTGGGAAACCGCTGGCAGCCTGCGAGGGTGGCCTCACCCCTTGCACAGTGAGCCTGCCAAATCTACACAGGTCGAGGGCAGACGAGCTTCCAGCCCGCGACGCCACGCGCTTTTCGGGATGGCTCCCCGCTGTGCTGCCCGAGCGCAGCTTGGGGCGTGGCAGCGGCAACTCGTCGGAACCACCCTCTGCGCTGCCCCCTCGCGGTTGGGCCTCCGCACCGGGCCTGCCCCCCCGCGCGAACGTGCAGGCCCGACGAGGGGGGGGAGCCCCCCTGGCGGCCGCAGCACGTGCGTCACAGCCGCCGCCCTGCCCGGGCCTGGCGGGAGGGGCCCGCGAGGCCCGGGCGCCCGAGGTCCCGGGCATGCTCCGGCGTGCTCGTGCAGGTCCGCGGCCCCAGGCCGACGCGGGACCCCTTGCCCGGGGAGGGCCACGCCGTCCTCGGTCCACTGCCGGGAGGGCCCCTCGGGGCCTGAGGACGGGCCCTCTGGAGGCCGGGCTCGGCGCAGAAGCGCCAGGAGTGGAAGCAGCACTCTGTCGGAGAGTTGGGGCGGGAGCGGCCCACAGTTGGCCGCGGAAGCGGCAGGGCAGCCTTTTCCACCGTTTCCGCGAGGGGTGCCTCCTGAAAAGGTGCCAGTTTAAGAAAACGTCCGCAAAAACGGCTCCGGGATTGTGCCCAGGACCGGGCCGGGAAAGGACGGCGACGGCATCGGGGAAAAAAACGGCGCCAGAACTGGCAATGAAAACGGCAAAAGGCAACAACGGCCCTGTCCCCAGACATATGGCGATTTTATATTTTCGAGACACGAGCACCCGGTTTTTCATGCCGAATCGTCTTTTGACGGTCCTGGGGCCCAGCAAGAGCGCCCAGAGGCCGAAACTTTACGAAGGACCTCTGTCTCGAGTTTTTCGAGACGCCTGGTGTCTGGGTCCTGCCAAGGCCCAAGTGTATAGGAGGAGCCCTCGGGTTCTCAGCCGGCCAGCCGTCTCCACCCTGGGCCTCAGCGCGGACGCGGAGGCGCGCTGCCTCCTGCGCCGGGCGCTCCGAGACGCGTGGCCTGCGGCGCAGCGTTTCGGGTGGAGCGTGGCGCAGCTGTGCGAGCTGGGGCCCGAGGAGCTCCCCTGCCCGGAACAGATCCCCACCCCCAAGTCTTGCGTCGCCTCATCTCGACGCCTTTCTTACGGATTCCCTCAGTTCCTGAGGGCGCATCCCGAAGATTTCCACCGCCCCTGGGCTTGCCAATCTTAGGGGTATATAGGGACATTTTCGAAGCTTAATAAACAGCGGGGGAGGGGACGACGACGACCACGACCACGACCACGACCAAGACCACGACCACGACCACGACCACGACGACGAGGAGACGACGTGGACGACGACGACGACGACGACGACGTGATTCCTGTTCCCTTCGTGGCGCTGTTCCTCCACGGGCCCCGCTCTCAGGTCACGGGGGTGCCTCAGAGGTGGATCCGGGGCGCAGGCCTGGCCCCGGGGGAGGGGCAGTACGTGACCTCCTGGCGGGGCCGCGGCTTCGGCTACAGGGCCAGGGGAGGAGGAGGAGGAGGAGGAGGAGGAGGAGGAGGAGGAGGAGGAGGAGGAGGAAAACGGGGATGAGGAGGAAGGAGGAGAAGTGAAAGAGGAGGATGAGTGAGGAGGAGGGGGGGAATGAGGGGGAGGAGGGATGGAGGAGGAGGATTTGGATGAGGAGGAGGTAGGGAGGAGGAGGGTATTAATTAGGATGGTGCGAGGATGCGTATTTCAGTATGAGAGGATACGGTGTGCGCGTCGGCCCAGCAAGGGCGACGCGGACGCCAACAAAACCTCTTCTTGCGCGTGCTCCGCGGCGGGCGCTCTCTGGCCGCAACGCTCGGACATACTATAGCAGCCCCGTGTGGTGCATGCGGTGGCCAATCGGTAAGTGCATGCTCCGCTCGGGGCATGCCCGTGAAACCGCCCTCTACACGCATGGGACCGCGGCTGGGTCCAGGAGGCGCGAGGCCCTGGGCAGTGATGTCCGAGGAGCAGCAAAACGGCAGAAATAGTTATTCTCGGAGGCCCACCGTTGCCGGAAGCCCCTGCGTTCCTGATTTGGCGTTCCTTCTGGTAGCACCTCGGCTGCACGGGGGCAGGCTTCTCAGAAGCAGCCCTGATTCCTAGAAGGCGCGGGCCTTCTCTCTACAGATGATTCGGGGCTGGCGCCTCCTAAGACGCAGCCTCCTTCTGAGAAGCCTCCCCCCTCCCCCAGACCTCCCCGTGCGCGCCGCCGAGCTATAGGGGGGTCTGTGGAGGGAGGGTCGCCGGGTGCACCTCCGGCCGGGGGGGGCTCTGCCCGTGCGCAGACCCCGAAGCCCTGCGAGGAGGCCTCCTCCTCCTCCTCGTCCTCCTCGCCCCCTCCTCTTCCTCCTCCTCCTCCTTCTCCTCCTCCTCCTCCTCCTCCTCCTCCTCCTCCCTCCTCGTCTTCCTCCTCCTCCTCCTCCTTCTGCCTCCTCCTCCTCCTCCTCCTCCTCCTCCTTCCTCCTCCCGGCTCCTCCTCCTCCTCCTCCTCCTCCTCCTCCTCCCACCCAGAGGCTGAGATCCCCGGCCTTCCAACGTCTCCCCGGCCTTCGAGGGGGGGTCGGCTCTGGATCGGCCAGCCATGGGCCCACCGTCGGCCCGGGCGGTCAGAGGCCTATAGCATCGGCGGACCGCAGCAGAGCCCAGCCAGATCGGAAGGTCCTGGCCCGTGCCTGGGCTGTCTTGTCGCGTGCGTCGTCTGCCTGGCTGCTGCGCCCCCCCCCCCCGGGCACCGGCCCGAGGATGGCGACGTGGGCTACTCGGGGAAGGACGCCGCCGCCGGCGAGCGAGCGGCCTCCTCCTTTTCCTCCTCGCCTGCTCGACCTCTCCTACCTGCCCTCCCCTTCCCTGCTCCTCCTCCTCCTCCTCTCCTCCTCCTCCTCCTCCGCCTCCTCCTCCTCCTCCTCCTCTCCTCCTCCTCCCCCTGCCTCCTCCTCCTCCCTGCCTCCTCCTCCTCCTCCTGCTCCTCCTCTTTGCCGTCCCCCTGCTCCTCCTCCTCCTCCTCCTCCCTGCTCCTCCTCCTCCTCCCTCCTCCGCCTGCTTCCTCCCTCCTGCTCCTCCTCCCTGCCACTCCTCCTCCTCCTCCTCCTCCTCCTCCTCCTCCTCCTCCTCACTCCTCCTCCTCCCTGCCTCCTCCTCCTCCCTGCCTTCCTCCTCCTCCTCCTGCTCCTCCTCTTTACCTCCCCTGCGTATCCTTGCCTCCTCCTCCCTGCCTCCTCCTCCTCCTCCTCCTCCCTGCTTCCCTCCTCCTCCTGCTCCTCCTCCCTGCCTCCTCCTCCTCCTCCTCCTCCTCCTGCCCTCCTCTCCTCCTCCTCCTCCTCCTCCTCCTCCTCCTCCTCCTCCTCCTCCTCCCTGCCGCTTGCCCCCCCCCCCCGGCCGCGGGCGCGAGGGCTCCCTTTCGGCCCATGCGTGGGCGCCGGGAGCGCCTGAGGCCTCGGGGGCGGGAGCACGACCCAACGAGACGCCCTCTCCAGACGAATCGCTTCGATTGCGTCCTCTCCTCCTCGTCGTCGTCATCATCGTCGTCGTCGTGGTCGTCGTCGTCGTCGTCGTCGTCGTCGTCGTCATCATCGTCAACGTCGTCGTCGTGGTCGTCTTCGTCGTCGTCGTCGTCGTCGTCGTCGTCGTCATCGTCGTCGTCGTCATGGTCGTCGTCGTCATCGTCGTCGTCTTCGTCGTCGTCGTGGTCGTCGTGGACGTCGTGGTCGTGGTCGTGGTCGTCGTCGTCGTCGGAGCCGTCGTCGTCGTCGTTGTCGTCGTCGTCGGGTGCGGACATGCCATCTCCAGGAGCAGGATTTTGACGTCCTCTCCACACGAATCGCTTCGACTGCGAGTCGACAGATGTGCAGTTGCCCCTGTACGAAACCGTTAGCTACGCGATGCCACGATCATTCCAGGCACCCTGACGGATCAGGCGCGGCCGAGTGCCAAGCCCGCCTGGCACCGAGCCGGCGAAACCATGTCCGCAAACACCTCCACGCAAAGTGCAGCGGACGTCCATCGGGGCAGGGTCACGGGCGTGAGGCGTGCAACCGAATATGCACACCATGTTTCGGGCGACGGCCCCATCCTCGGGACCTGTCCCTCTCGGCAGCGTGTCGTTGGTGTGTATATGTCGTTGGCCTTGCAGCGTGCCGTTGGTCGGCGGCGAGCGCAGGGGCGAAGCGAGAGGGCACGGGCCTCCTCAGAGGGCGGCGGGGCCTGTCGGAGGCTGTCGCGCCGTCTGCGAGGCTGTCCGCGGCGTGGGACAGGGCTCGTAGGGCTTCTCAGAGGGCGCGAGGTCCTCTCGCCCTGGCTCGTTGTCTCGCCGTGCCTGGGCCCCGAAGCGGCCCACGAGAGCCCTGATCTGGGAAGGGTGGCCGCCGCGGCGCCGGGAGATCTGCGCCTCTCGGGGGGCGTCGGCTGCGATACGTTTGGTTCTACCCCCTCGCGATAGATAACAGGCGTGGCCAGGGTGGAGTTGGGAGGAGGAGGAGGAGGAGGAGGAGGATGAGGAGGAGGAGGAGGAGGAGGAGGGCGAGGAGGGAGAGCGAGGAGGAGGGCGAGGACGGGAGGGACGAGAAGGGGGAGGATCAGTTTTACTCCCAGTCGAGATTTTTTTGGGGGGGATGGCACTAATCAGCCCAGGAAGTGGCTAATTCCCAACACGCATGGCGACGCGAAGGGGGTGGAGTGGGGCGCAGGAGTCTGGGGCAGGGCCGGTCACGGGCAATCATCGCGAAGCATCATCACGCAAGGCTTGCTCTGTGCACCTCGCCGGTCCTTGCCGGGCCGAGGCGACGGGCCTCGCCGGGATCGGCGAGGTGGATGGGGCCCAGCCCGGGGCGCCGCGGATAGAGCTGGCTCCGTGCACCTCGCGACGGAGCAAGAGAGCTCTCAAGCCGCGATTGCGCAATTTTGTCCGCCTGGCTCCAGGTCGTGCCCAGACATCCGGCGTCCCGATTTTTTCGAGACAAGGACCCTGTATGGACCTCTCGACCACTTCCCTCGGGCCGCTTCTTCAGCCCCGAGCCTGTCTTTGACGGCCCCGAGGCCCAGCAGAAGAGCCCCCGGAGAGGCCGAGAACTTTCGAAGGACCTCCGCCTCGCTCTGTTCGAGACGCCCGCGGTCCGAGCAGCTCCGCGCCCCTCGTTGGCGCTGGCGGGGCCGAGAAAGGGGCGGGGAGGCGCGGGCCTCGCCGGGAGGCGGGGGGGCGGCAGGCCCGCGCCGCGCTGGAGGCGGCGGCCGAGGACGGCGCGTGCGCTCGAGAGGCGGAGGAGGCCGCAGTGTGGCCGAGAGCGGGTCGACCTCGAAGGTCGGTGTCGTGTCACCAATCCCCATCCCCATCCCCATCCATCCCCTTCGAGACCCCCGCCAAATTACGACCCGAGTTGGGGATACACCCCTCGAAGCCCGAAGGGAGCGACCTGTATCCCCATCTAGGGGGGTAAATCTGCCAGTGGGGCCCAGGCCACGCCGCTGGGGATGGGGATCGGTTAAACGAGACTCAGAAGGGCCCGCACTGTGCACCCAGAGCCCCTCGAGTCGTAGCAAACATGAAGTCGGGCCTGTCCGTCTTACAGGAGGAAGATTCGACGGTAGTCAAAAAACAATCGGGTGACGATGTTTCGACTAGCTATGACTATTTACTAGCTCTGACTATTTGGGAGCATTTTTTGAGTATTTTCTGTTTGTCGTCGAACATCCGCCTGTAGGAGAACACGCCCGATCTAAACCCAGACCCCCTCGAGTCGTAAGAAGCATGGAGACTGACAGTTCTGGGGACGTGTGCGGGCTCTTGGGGCCCTCGCCGGGGCCCCGGGCCGTCACAGAAAGATGCGGGATGGAAAGCCAAAACTGGTCCTGGGGAGAAAGGGTCAAGACCGCTACGGGCCTCGGTCATTCAATAGAGGCGGCGTCGGGGGTCTGGGTACGGTGTGGGCGTCGGTTGAGGAACCTACCCAGGAGGCTTCTAATCCCGTTGGATTCCTTCTCTGATGTGGGCGGCGGTGATATCCTTGGCCAACCCGCGATTCGAGTTCCACCTCGGCTTCTAGACCCCGCGTTCCTTATTCCCCATATCCTAAGGATTGGGGTTCTTGTTATTACTCTGACGCCTCCCACTCCTCCTCCTCCTTCTTCCTCCCGCCTCCCGCCTCCCTCCTCCCAATGATAATCACCAGATAAGACAAGACAAGATAATATACTACAAGATAAGATAAGGTAGCACAATATATGATAAGGTAATATAAGATATATGACAAGGTAGGATAATATATAAGATAAGACAGCCTATGGAGTAATAAGATACAAGAAATGATGCGATAAGATGAGTTGATATAAGATAAGCTAATACAAGATAAGAGATTTCAAGATAAGATAAGATAGAGGGTAATAAAGGTAAGATAAGATAGGACTCGATAAGATAAGATGAGACTCACTCTCACTCAGACTCACTCACAGTCACATTCACTCACACTCACACTCTCTCATGGTCACAAAACGCTGCCAGGGGCATCATTTGGGAGCCCCAAGGGGGAGCCACCCTGGCTGATCTCACGAGCCCGTTCGCGCCGATTTTGGTGGGACGTCTCAGCTAAAATTGCCGTTTGGCCTCCCCAACATGTCTCTCTTGAGAGCCTCATGGTCACAAAACGCTGCCAGGGCATCATTTGGGAGCCCCAAGGGGGAGCCACCCTGGCTGATCTCACGAGCCCGTTCGCGCCGATTTTAGTGGGACGCCTCAGCTAGAATTGCCGTTTGGCTCCCCAACATGTATCTCTTGAGAGCCTCATGGTCACAAAACGCTGCCAGGGGCATCATTTGGGAGCCCCAAGGGGGAGCCACCCTGGCTGATCTCACGAGCCCGTTCGCGCCGATTTTGGTGGGACGTCTCAGCTAGAATTGCCGTTTGGCGCCCCCAACATGTATCTCTTGAGAGCCTCATGGTCACAAAACGCTGCCAGGGGCATCATTTGGGAGCCCCAAGGGGGAGCCACCCTGGCTGATCTCACGAGCCCGTTCGCGCCGATTTTGGTGGGACGCCTCAGCTAGAATTGCCGTTTGGCCTCCCCAACATGTATCTCTTGAGAGCCTCATGGTCACAAAACGCTGCCAGGGGCATCATTTGGGAGCCCCAAGGGGGAGCCACCCTGGCTGATCTCACGAGCCCGTTCGCGCCGATTTTGGTGGGACGCCTCAGCTAGAATTGCCGTTTGGCGTCCCCAACATGTATCTCTTGAGAGCCTCATGGTCACAAAACGCTGCCAGGGGCATCATTTGGGAGCCCCAGGGGGGGTCCACCAGGGGCTTCATAGTCACCAAACGCTGCCAGGGGCAGCATTTTGGCTTCCCAAAGAGGAGTCGACCCGGGCCTCCTAGTCGCCAGACACTGCCAGGGGCACCATTGGGATTCAGACTCGCACCCAGACTCACTCATACACAAGCTCACTCACACTCAGATTCATTTCTTCAGAGTCAGGCACACACAGACGTACCCATACTCAGACTCACCCACACTCAGGCTCACCTAACCCAGACTCCGTCAGAAGCCAGTAGCGAAGAGAGCAGAGAGGAGAGAGAGAGAGAGAGAGAAAGAGAGAGAGAGAGAGAGAGAGCGGGAGAGAGCGAGAGAGAGAAAGAGAGAGAGAGAGAGAGAGAGAGAGCGCGCGAGCGCGAGCGCGAGCGCGAGCGCGAGCGCGAGCGAGAGAGAGAGAGAGAGAGAGAGAGCGAGCGAGCGAGCGAGCGAGAGAGAGAGAGAGAGAGAGAGCGAGGAAGAGAGAGAGAGAGAGAGAGGAAGATATTTATATATATATAGAGAGAGAGAGAGAAGGAGAGAAAGAGAAAGAGAGAGAGAGCAAGATAGAGAGAGAGAGAGGAAGCGAGAGAGAGGGAGAGGAGAGAGAGAGAGAGAGAGCGGAAAGAGAGAGAGAGAGGGGGGCGGGGGAGATTGAGAGAGGAGGACAGGCGAGAGAACGAGATAAGAGAGAAGAGAGAGGAGAGAGAAGAGAGAATAGAGAAAGAGAGAAGAGATAGAGATAGAGAGAGAGAGAAGAGATAGATAGAGAGTAGAGAGAAGTGGAGAGAGAGGGGGGGGGGGGAGAGAGAGAGAGAGAGAAGAGAGAGAGATAGAGATAGAGATAGAGAGAAGCGAAAAGGAGAAGAGAAGGAGAGAGATAGGAAGAGAGAGGAGAGTCGAAGACGAGATAGAGAGAGAGAGAAAGAGCAGCGAGAGAGAGAGAGAGAGCGGTAGAGAGTCGAGGGAGAGCGAAAGAGAGAGCGAGAGAGAGCGAGTGAGAGCGAGAGAGAGAGAGAGAGAGAGCGAGAGAGAGCGACAGAGAGCGAGAGAGAGCAAGAGAGAGCGAGAGAGCGAACGAGAGAGAGAGAGAGAGAAGAGAGAGAGAGAGAGCGAGGGAAGAGAGAGAGAGAGATAGAGAGAGAAAAAAGAGAGAGAGAGAGATAGAGAGAGAGAGAAGAGAAGAGAAGAGTAAGGTAACTGATAAGGAATAATGAAGGCGTGGACGAAGAGAGAGGGAGAGCGGAGGGAGAAGTGGAAGAAGAGGAAGAGGAGATAGAGACAGAGGGAGAAATAGACAGAAGAGAGAAGAGGAGAGAGAGAGCGGAGCTTAGAGAGAGAGAGAGGGCATAGATATAGTCAGCGTAGAAAACGTCACAAGAGATCGAGGTCAGGCCCAGAGAGATGTCTGCCGGAGGCGAGCGTCAAATATAGATAGCGTAGAGATTATCCGAGATATGAGAGGACTAGTCAGTGAAACGAGAATAGGCACAAGATAGTAACCTAGAGAGAATTGCCGATTTTGTTCGCTCTATCTATACTCTATCTCTCCCTAGAGCATATAAAATAATTATAGATTCAGCTCAGTCACACTTAAATCCAGATTCGTCCTCACCGAGTCCCACCACCAAGGGAGCGCCAGCAAGGAGATGCACATATGGGGATCCCCACGCAGTGAATAATCCAATGGTTTCTTTTGCCTTGTCCGGTGCCCTCACCGTATCTGAGAGCCGCGATCGCTCGAGGCTGCACGAGACCCGCGCGCGCAGGTCCTCACGGCACGAGCCTGCCGCTGTTGGCATCGCTCGATGGGTCGACGGCCCTTAGCGCCCCACCGCTCGTCGGGTGGTTCTTTCGCGGCCTCGGTCCACCACTGGGAGTCCCTGCCGGGGTCGCGGGCTGGGCGGCCGGCCACCCGGGGTGTGGCTGCAGCTCGACGGGAGCCTAAGGCGTTGTGCCGGTGCGGGCGCCCCGAAGGGTGTCTCGGGAGGGCGATCGCAGTCTCATCCCTGTCCTGCTCCCGCTCCTTGTCCCTCCTGCTCCTGCTGCCGCTGCTCTGGATCCTTGTCCTCCTCTGCCCCCTCCTGCTCCTGCTCCCCTCTCTCTGGCGATGCTGCTGCTGAGGCCGCTGGTCTTCCTGCCCCCTCCAGCTCCTGGTCCTTATCCTCTGGCTAGTCACTGCCTGCCGCTGCTGCTTCTCCTCTCGCACCTCCTCCTGCTCCTCGCCCCCCTGCCGAACCTTTCACGGCCTCTGCTGCTGCCGCTCCTCCGCTCCCAGCCGGGCGAGGACGCGACCCTCTACGTCAAGGTTCTGGACGCCCGACATGGGCACGGAAAGAATGGGTACAATGCCCAACAGCAGTTCCTGTCCGTTTTGAACAGGACTCGCTGTCGGTGTCGCCGCGGCCTGTGTCCATTGGAGACAGAGGGCCGCCTGCCCAGCAGCGGCCGCTGTTGGTTTGGGACAACATTTATTGTTGGGCACTGCACCCATTCTGTCCGTGCCCCTTCCGGGCGTCCAAAAGAAGGTGCGGGACCCTGCCCAGGGCAGCGGGCGGTTCTACCCCTACGGCTTCATCCTCGCCACCCTGCTGCACGAGCTGACCCACCTGTCCTTCCTGGGCCACGGGAAGGCCCTACCGCCAATTCTTACGCTTACTATTATTATTGTTCGTATAATTTTTATTATGATTATTATTAGTATTATTATTATTAATATTATTATAATTGGCATTATTATTATTGTTATTGTTATTGTTAATGTGATTGTTATTGTTAGTATTAGTATTATTGTTACTATTATCGTTATTATTATTATTTTTATTATTATTATTATTTTTATTATTATTATTAGTATTATTATTAGTATTACGATTAGTAATATCATTAGTATTAGTATTAGTATTAGTATTAGTATTAATAGTATTATTATTCTTATCATTATTATTACTATTATTATTCTTATTATTACTATTTTAATTATTATTATTGTTCTTATTATTATTATTATTGTTGTTATTATTATTAGTATTATTATTAGTATTATTATGCTTATTCGTCTCCTTCCTATTACGGTCACACAACTCCTGCATCCACGGCTTCGGGGTCGTGCCCAGGGGACTTTCCGGGAGTGGAGGATACGTTTGCTGCGTGCCTTCGCCCCCTGGGGGTGCAGAGGTGTGCAGCTCCACGGCTGGGGACCCGAGGCCGGAGCCCCGCAGCTGCCCTGCACGCTGCGCTGCGCTGCTCCCGATCGGCCCGAGAGGGCCGTGCCAGTCTGGAGCGCGGGGGGGGCAGTGCGGTCGCCCCGGGGTATAAGATCGAGGTCGGTTCGGGGAGGGTGCCCTAATGCTAGATTGGGCTCATGTGGCAAACGCGACCAGGCCCTCCGGAGGAAACCTCTCCGGAACATCCCCCGGGAGATCTGCAGACTTTCATTTCTGGTATTCTCAAAATCTTTGGAACATATCCAGTCTCTAAATTCTCAGGGGGAATCTCTGGAAAATCTTCGCATGTCCGAGGAAATCAATGGAAATCCTCTGGCGCGCAGAAATCTTTAGAACACCGTTGTCAAATCTCCAGCGAATTTCCTGAAACCATAAAGAAAATCTCTGTCAAATCTCCGGCAGAAAATCTCCGGAAAGTCTCCAGCGAATCTCCCAACAATCTCTGGTGGAGATACCATTTGATATGCTTTAGGTGCAAAGATGTCCGAAGTTTCGCCAGAATGTTTGTTAGGCGCGAAATTGTTCTGGAGATTCGCGGGAAGGCTTTTTGCAATCAAAGATTTGGGCGATTCGCGGGAAGATTTTTTGGAGATGGGAGACTCGCGTGAATTCGCGGGAAGATGTCTTTGATATTCCAGGGCAGTCGTGTTTGCCAGAATCGCTCACCCTCATGCTCTTTGTGCTTGTTGGATACTCATGCGCGCCCTGGGGAGGGCACCCTTTGGATGTGCTGTGTGTGCGTTTGCCCGCGCATGGTCTCGCGTCCTTGAGGGATGTTCTTCTGGCCTGGGACCCTAGGTCCTACTGTAGGGCCGCCATCATGCGTACGTGGGCCGCCTCTCGAGCAGGGGCAGGAGCATCGGGCCGGAGGAAAGGGGGGTTACGAAATCTGCTGCATGCAGCTGGTTTCGGCCCCACCGAGGGGCCCATTCCTCGATGCATGGGCGCCTCCCGGCGCCGGGAGGTGCCGGGAAAATCAGCCACGTGAGCTGATTCTCTACCCTGCCCTTTGCTATCCCCCCCTGTCGCCCGGCCCGAGGGCAGGAGGGGGGGGGAAGAGGAGAGGAGGCCGGCCTTCGCTGCTGACCAAAGCAGCCCTGCCCAACCCGAAGGTCCCAGACTCCCTTAACCTTGTGGATCGAGGGGTGTACATGTCGGTCGTCGAAGGCAGGTATTCTTGGACTCCCAGAGCCCACTCTTACTTCTGGCGCCTTCATACTCCAAGACTCGATATGCTGCTGCTTTGTTTTGTTACTCTCTGGGCAGGCCTCGACCCACTCTACGTTATTCGCCTTCCCACCTCATAGCTTGACCTGCTTCCTGCGGCCGGCGTGTACGGGCTCCACCGTGTAAGTTGGCAGGCCGAATGGCACATTCGGGTGGGGCTGGGGTGGCCTGCTGGGCACTTCGTCAGGCCTCCAGAAGCCGAGGCGCCGCCGCCTATAGCCCCTTGTAGGACCGTCCCGTGGGACGAGTCGGCGCCGTGTCTCGTGTGTGTGTGTGTGTGTGTGTCCAGGAGCTGTGGGTGTGGGATTTCCCTTCTGCCGGCGCAGAGGCCTTCTACAGGCGCCTCGTGAAGGCCACGTCGCTCTGCGGGGCGACCCCGTCCGTGCGCCAAGAGGTGCGCCGGCACGTGTGCGGGGAGTTGCTGAACGCCGTCTGCGACAACGACCAGAGGCGTGCCAGGCGCGGGGCAGAGAATGCGGCCGTGTCTCCCGCGACCTTCTCCCGCGTGTCCCCCTCTGACTCAACTTTCCTCCTCCTCCTCCTCCTCCTCCCTCCTCCTCCTCCTCCTCCTCCCTCCTCCTCCTCCTCCTCCTCCTCCTCCTCCTCGTCATTGTGCTCACCGTCCTCATGCAGGACCACGCCGTCGCTCTCCCGCGTCCTCCTCGTGATGCTCCTCAGCCTGGATCCGTGGAAAGCGGGGGCCGACATCTTCGACGGCACGACTCTCGAGCTTCTAGCCTCTATAGAGCACTCGACTCCTCTACTCCGGGGACGGCACTTCGTCTTGCGTCGTGTATTGACGGGCCGTGGGCTTTTAAGCGGCTCCCGGAGAAGGACAAAGTTGCGAGCATTGGATCTCACGTGGTGGGGGGGGGGCGATAACTGGGGGGGCAGCGAGGGCTGCAGAAAAGGTGCCCTTTAGGGTCCCCAAAGAGACATGTCTGGGCCCCAAAGGGGCCCTCTGGGGCCCGAACAGGGCACCGTTCTCTCCCCATTGCGCCCAATGGACAAGTGGCGAGCACGCTCTTGCGCTCTATCTTGCTTAGCCGTCGGAGGTCTGGGAAAGCGGGCGCAGGCGAGGCAGCGCATGGTCGGGCCAATCGGCAGGGCGCGGCAACACACGCAAGCGCGCCCCGCACGCGACCGCAGCCGCTCGCCCCCAGAGGCCTCGCCCCCAGAGGCCTGGCACAGAGGCCTCGGCTATGCGTAGGAGGGACCTTTCGCCAGAGTGACCTTCAGTGCTGGCCCGCAGGGGTATTTGTCCCCACCCCCCACCCCACCCCCGTCCCCGCGGCCACCTGAGGCCGCGAATCAAAGGTCACTCATCCCGAGAGTCACTGCGTGCAGCCGGAGGCCATGCGCGCAGCACCGTGCATCCTGGGCCCCGGACGCCATGAGTTGTTTCACAACGTCGACTGCCCATAGGTTTGGACCCATTCCCGGGATGTCATCACGACCAGTTTACCGAAGGTCCCGCGGCCTGGCGTGGGCCCCATTGGGCAAAATTAAAGACACGCCCGTAGCCTTTTTTCTTATTTCGCGACGCGAGGTGGTGTGGGATTTCCGCGCTGAGTCCAGGGACCGTCGCCCGGCCAGCCCAAGTCCGCTCAACGTCATTCCCTGGATCCCTCCTGGGGTGCATTTTCTAGGCGCATCCAGGCTGTGCGACGAGACGCCGCCAGAGGGCCCAAAGCGGGACAAGCAGCACAAAACGCAGAGGAAGCCCGCCGATGTCTCGAAGGGCCCTCCGCCGAGCACACGCAGCAGCCCAAGTCTCCGCGCTGAGTCTTACGGGAAGGCGCCTCTTGCCGAAACCCGTGCGACAGAGCCCTGCTGGCCGCGATGGGGTTTCGGCATGGTGTGTTGTTTTTCCCCACATCCTGAGTGGGGTTCTTGTTCCCCACATCCTGAGTGGGGTTCTTGTTTTCCCAGAACACCCTCTCCTTCTCCTCCTCCTCCCGCGTCCTTCTCCTAAACCATACCATACCAAGCCATACCATACCAATACCTTACCATACCAATACCATACCAAGCCATACCAAGCCATACCATATCAATACCATACCAAACCACGAACAGAACAGAACAGCATACCATACCAAGCCATACCATACCAATACCTTACCATACCAATACCATACCAAGCCATACCAAGCCATACCATATCAATACCATACCAAACCACGAACAGAACAGAACAGCAACCAATACCATACCAATACCATACCAAATCATACCAAGCCATACCATACCAAGCCAATACCAACGCTATTCCAAAACCCTCCAGGGAGGCCCCGCCTGAGCGAGGAGGGTATTCGCATCACCTGTTATTTATCAGGTTTCGTGCCCCTCCCACCCCTCCAGGGAGGCCCCGCCTGAGCGAGGAGGGTATTCGCATCACCTGTTATTTCTCAGGTTTCGTGCCCATACCATTCAATTACCAAACCACGAACAGAACAGAACAGCAACCAATACCATACCAATACATACCAAATCATACCAAGCCATACCATACAAGCCAATACCAACGCTATTCCAAAACCCTCCAGGGAGGCCCCGCCTGTGACGCGGAGGGTATTCGCATCACTGTTATTTATCAGGTTTCGTGCCCCTCCAACCACTCCCGGGAGGCCCGCTGAGCGAGGAGGGGTATTCGCATCAAATGTTTTTTTCTCAGGTTTCGTGCCCTCCCACCTCCTCCAGGGAGCCCCGCCTTGTGCGAGAGGGTATTCGCTTCACCTGTTATTTCTCAGGTTTCGTGCCCCTCCCACCCCTCCAGGGAGGCCCCGCCTGAGCGAGGAGGGTATTCGCATCACCTGTTATTTCTCAGGTCTCGTGCCCCTCCCACCCCTCCAGGGAGGCCCCGCCTGAGCGAGGAGGGTATTCGAATCACCTGTTATTTCTCAGGTTTCGTGCCCCTCCCACCCCTCCAGGGAGGTCCCGCCTGAGCGAGGAGGGTATTCGCATCACCTGTTATTTATCAGGTTTCGTGCCCCGCCCACCCTCAGGGAGGGACCGCACTGAGCAGGAGGGTATTCGCATCACTGTTATTTCTCAGGTTTCGTGCCCCTCCCACCCCCTCATTGGAGGCCCCGCCTGAGCGAGGGATGGGTAGGCGCAAACCTGTTATTTCTCTGGTTTCGTGCCCCTCCCACCCCTCAGGGAGGCCCCGCCTGAGCGAGGAGGGTATTCGCATCACCTGTTATTTATCAGGTTTCGTGCCCCTCCACCCCTCCAGGGAGGCCCCGCCTGAGCGAGGAGGGTATTCGCACCACCTGTTATTTATTAGGTTTCGTGCCCCTCCCACCCCTCCAGGGAGGCCCCGCCTGAGCGAGGAGGGTATTCGCATCACCTGTTATTTCTCAGGTTTCGTGCCCCTCCACCCCTCCAGGGAGGCCCCGCCTGAGCGAGGAGGGTATTCGCATCACCTGTTATTTCTCAGGTTTCGTGCCCCTCCCACCCCTCCAGGGAGGCCCCGCCTGAGCGAGGAGGGTATCGGAAACCAATACTATTTACATGGTTTCGTGCCCTTCCCACCTCCCCAGGGAGGCCCCACCTCTCCAGCTTCTCCTTCGTGTTGATGTTGTCGTACCCCATGGGTCCCACGAGACCGTTAATATCTTTATGTGGGGAACTCCGTTAGCATAATTTTCCCAGAACACCCTCTCCTTCTCCTCCTCCTCCCGCGTCCTTCTCCTAAACCATACCATACCAAGCCATACCATACCAATACCTTACCATACCAATACCATACCAAGCCATACCAAGCCATACCATATCAATACCATACCAAACCACGAACAGAACAGAACAGCATACCATACCAAGCCATACCATACCAATACCTTACCATACCAATACCATACCAAGCCATACCAAGCCATACCATATCAATACCATAACAACACGAACAGAACAGAACAGCAACCAATACCATACCAATACCATACCAAATCATACCAAGCCATACCATACCAAGCCAACACCAACGCTATTCCAAAACCCTCCAGGGAGGCCCCGCCTGAGCGAGGAGGGTATTCGCATCACCTGTTATTTCTCAGGTTTCGTGCCCCTCCCACCCCTCCAGGGAGGCCCCGCCTGAGCGAGGAGGGTATTCGCATCACCTGTTATTTCTCAGGTTTCGTGCCCATACCATATCAATACCATACCAAACCACGAACAGAACAGAACAGCAACCAATACCATACCAATACCATACCAAATCATACCAAGCCATACCATACCAAGCCAATACCAACGCTATTCCAAAACCCTCCAGGGAGGCCCCGCCTGAGCGAGGAGGGTATTCGCATCACCTGTTATTTATCAGGTTTCGTGCCCCTCCCACCCCTCCAGGGAGGCCCCGCCTGAGCGAGGAGGGTATTCGCATCACCTGTTATTTATCAGGTTTCGTGCCCCTCCCACCCCTCCAGGGAGGCCCCGCCTGAGCGAGGAGGGTATTCGCATCACCTGTTATTTCTCAGGTTTCGTGCCCCTCCCACCCCTCCAGGGAGGCCCCGCCTGAGCGAGGAGGGTATTCGCATCACCTGTTATTTCTCAGGTTTCGTGCCCCTCCCACCCCTCCAGGGAGGCCCCGCCTGAGCGAGGAGGGTATTCGCATCACCTGTTATTTATTTATCAGGTTTCGTGCCCCTCCCACCCCTCCAGGGAGGCCCCGCCTGAGCGAGGAGGGTATTCGCATCACCTGTTATTTATCAGGTTTCGTGCCCCTCCCACCCCTCCAGGGAGGCCCCGCCTGAGCGAGGAGGGTATTCGCATCACCTGTTATTTATCAGGTTTCGTGCCCCTCCCACCCCTCCAGGGAGGCCCCGCCTGAGCGAGGAGGGTATTCGCATCACCTGTTATTTCTCAGGTTTCGTGCCCCTCCCACCCCTCCAGGGAGGCCCCGCCTGAGCGAGGAGGGTATTCGCATCACCTGTTATTTCTCAGGTTTCGTGCCCCTCCCACCCCTCCAGGGAGGCCCCGCCTGAGCGAGGAGGGTATTCGCATCACTGTTATTTCTCAGGTTTCGTGCCCCTCCCACCCCTCCAGGGAGGCCCCGCCTGAGCGAGGAGGGTATTCGCATCACCTGTTATTTCTCAGGTTTCGTGCCCCTCCCACCCCTCCAGGGAGGCCCCGCCTGAGCGAGGAGGGTATTCGCATCACCTGTTATTTCTCAGGTTTCGTGCCCCTCCCACCCCTCCAGGGAGGCCCCGCCTGAGCGAGGAGGGTATCGGAAACCAATACTATTTACATGGTTTCGTGCCCTTCCCACCTCCCCAGGGAGGCCCCACCTCTCCAGCTTCTCCTTCGTGTTGATGTTGTCGTACCCCATGGGTCCCACGAGACCGTTAATATCTTTATGTGGGGAACTCCGTTAGCATAATTTTCGTATATTCGCTGCATTCCTTTGACTGCCCCGCTGTGCCGTGCCTGGGTAGTGGCTGTGAAGCCTATTGGATTTTCGTTGGGATATTGTGGGAGGCTATTCCGGGACCTCTTGGAGGCAGTTTGGGTGCCGTTTGGTTTTCCCTCTTTTGGGCCTCTCGGGGGCCTCTTAGGGTGCCTCGTGGGGTGTCCCAGGCGCCTATTGTGGCCTCCTGGGCACGGTGGCGGTACGTTCCACGGCAGTCGAAGCGATCATGTGAGGCCGCAGTGTTCGGCAATACAAATGCTTGCCGTGCCGCGTTCCGCAGCTGCCACTCGTGCGAGTACGGCCTGAGGGTTCGTCACAGAAATCTTAGGAGCTCCGCTTCGCCGAAGGTACCCAACATGGGGAGAAGGGGAGAGAAGGCCGGGGAAGGGATACGAGCAGAATGAGGAGGAGGCGGAGGAGGAACAGGACGGGGGTGAGAAGGGTGGGGGGGGGAGAGGAGCAGAGGAGAAGGAGGAGGAGGAGGAGGACGGGAAGAAGAGGGGGAAGGGTCGGCCGAAAAGCTCCCGCCAGCCTCATCTTGCTCATCCTCCCGCTCGCCCTTGTTTCTCCCTGCCCCCCCCCCCGCCCTCTTTCTTCTCCTCCTCCTCCTCCTCCTCCTCCTCCTCCTCCTCCTCCTCCTCCTCCTCCTCCTCCTCCTCCTCCTCCTCCTCTTCCTCCTTTTTCTTCCTTTCTTCCTCCTCCTCCCTCCTCATCACTCCTCCTCACTCTTCCTTTCTTCCTCCTCCCTCCCTCCCTCCTCATCACTCCTCCCTCCTCCCTTCCCTGGGGAGCTCCCCGCCCCGCCGCGAGAGCCCCCCGCGACGGCCCGCCGCCAGGGCCCTGCTGGCCGCGCTGCCCGAGGCCGCGGCCTGCGGCCCGCTGGGGCTGGCGCGCCAGCTGCCCCTCGCGTACGCCGCGCACCACGGCCGCGTGGCCCTCACGCGCCTGCTCCTGGAGGCCCCCGCCCCCCAGGAGGGCCCCCACAGGGTCAAGAGTCCTCCTCCTCCTCCTCGTCCTCCTCCTCCTCCTCCTCCTCCTCCTCCTCCTCCCTCCTCCTCTTCCTCCTCCTCCTTCTCCTCGTTTTTCCTTTCTGGACCCCCCCCCCCAGGAGGGCCCCGCCAGAGTCGGGCATAGCCAGGACCCCAGGTGAGGGGACCCGCTCAGTGGTGGGGCCCTGGAGCCTTTGAGTTGGCCAGAATTGCTGACCAGGTCTGCCGCAGGAAGTGCTTTTTCGGGTGACGGCAGTTCCGGTCAGTGGAACGGGGCGGGGGGGGGGCGCCCCCCAGTACACATCACCAGACCAGGTTCCACTAAACCCAGTTCTGCCAACGCCCGACGGAGGCAAGAGGCGTCGTCCTTCCCTCGTGTGTCCCGTGTTTTCCTTGTGCTCTTTCGTTGTGCTTCGCGCTCCCGCGCTTTGCTTTCGACGTGCCTCGCGCTGCGTCGCGCGCCCGCTCCTGGAGGCCTCGGGGGGGCGCCCGCCGTCGTCGTCCCCAGAGATCCGACGCTCCCCCAAAAAAGGATTGGCGCGGGCGGTGCTTGGCTCCACCAAGAATTGGAGCGGGCGGTGTCTGGCCGTTTTCGGCTTCTGGGGGCCCTCGCCGGGCCTCGGGACGGGAGCGTCAGAAAGCGACCCAGGACGAAAACCCAGCCCTTCTAGGGAAGTGTTTCGGACCTTCGGGGACCATGCATCGTAAGATGACACTGTTTTTGCAACGTCTGGCCCTCACGGGCCTGCTCCTGGAGGCCCCCCAAGAGGGCCCAAGAGGCAGAATTTGTAGATTTTCTTTGTGCTTCTCTTTGTGTATTTCGCGTTCTTGGGTTTTCGGTCTTTCGACGCTCCAAGATGGCCCCAGAGGCCTCCAAGACCGCCATCGTCATCGCCATCATCACTGCCATCGCCATCGTCGTCCTCGTCCTCGTTCCCCGAGATTCTGGCGTCGTGATTTTTTTGAGCTGGGCGTTTTAGAACAGTTACGGGCCTGGGGACCTTCGCGGATCACGGTCCGACACATGACGTCGAATGCTCGGGTATATGGCTGCGGGCGTGGTTCTTGCGATGCTGCAGTTTTCTCGCAACGTCGGATCTCAGGGTCGTCACCGTCATCGCCATCGTCGTCATCGTCGTCGTCCTCGTCCTCGGCACTCCTATCGCCATCGTCGTCGTCGTCGTCGTCATCGTCATCGTTATCTTCATCCTCGTCGCCATCGTCGTCGTCGTCGTCGTCGTCGTCGTCGTCGTCGTCGTCGTCGTCATCATCATCGTCATCGTCATCGCCCCTGCAGGCTGGAGGTCCTGGCGTCTCGTCCAGCGTCCTCTGCGCATCAGAGGAGGGCGAGTCAAGACGTCAGTAACGGGCCTTTTGGGCTCCTCGTCGCCACGGCTGGGCGCAAACTGGCGCGTTTGGACCCCGGAAGGGTTGGGAGTTGGAGGCTGGCACGATCGGACCCAGAAGTGTCCAGTGCTGAAAGCTCTCGGAAGCTGCGCTGCCAGGCCCAGCACTGGCTCGGGGGGGGAAGACGTTCGAGGTCCTGGGTTCAAGAAGGGCTTTTGCCCTTGCAGGCCTAGGGGGGCCGTCCTCGGGCCCTGGGACCGTCAAAAGCGGATCCGGCGAGGAACATTGACCAGATGGAACCTGAAAAGGGGTGGTGGGACCGATTTGGGGAAGATTCGCTTTGATCCCCCCTTCTCGACAAATGTTCTCGGGGCCCATCCAGCTCTAAGGCCCCCTGGCCGCCTGCAATCCCCGTGTGCGTCCAGCTTCCCGAGTGGGTTCCGAGGATCGCCCCGCAGCTGCGATGCATCGGCGAGTGGAGCCCGCTTTTCTCCACGCCGACGGCGCCGATGCATCGCCGATGGATCGGCGAGGCCCCCGAAGAGATGTGAAGGCAACACCGTGTTGTGAGTCAGTGGGGATTCGCGGTGTCCGCTTTGCTTGGAGACTTGGGTCTTTCGCCGAGGATGTCTCGGGTGACTGGGCCCTCCCGGGTGCCAAAGCCATGTGGCGACGGACCCTGCGATGAGGTCTTTGGGGCTTCCGAGATCACAGCACAGTCCGTCGCCACACAGATCTGAAATTCCCAAGTGCTGCTGCTGCCGATGAGCCCTGTCTGTCGTTGCCAGGGTGTCGTGTCTTCGAGGTTCGAGATTTGGAGATGTTTGGCGCCTCCGTCTGCTCGCGGCGGTCTTCCAGCCTCGGGGTGCCTTCCAGCGGATGCGCCTCGCCGAGGGCGTTCCACGGGTGCCCGGATCGTCTCGGTCGGCCGCCGAAGAGCGGAGTGACAGCCAGGGGGTGGACAGGCCTCCTACCCTGACACGTCGATCAGCGAGTTGGCCGTGTTCGGTTCGCGAGAGGGCGTCGCGGCCGTCACTTTTGCGGGCCCAGGTCCATCGGTTTCGGTCGTAGGCCGTGTTCACGAAAGGGTGGTTTACGAAAGGGAGGTTTGTCCACCGCCGAGATGACCCGAAGGACACTCGGGTCGGGGGCAACGACAGCGGGGAGTGATGCTCGGGTGGGGACGCATCGACCCCAAGTCGCCCATTTCTCGCCAGCAGGGGACCTGGTAGCACACCCCGCCCAGGAGTGTGCGGATCCTCTTTCGGGGGCCTGTCGCCGACCTGGTGATTGGCAATATATGTCGCCGATTCCGGGTCGCCCCCCCCCCCCACCCCTGCTGCAGAGCTTGAGGGAGAAACTGGCTCAAGCCATGCCTGGCCACAGCCAGAGCTTTGGAGCAAAGGCCGCGAGGGACTCGGGGGGTCCCTGGGTCCTTGCTCCCTGCTGTCCCCAAAGGCTGCCTGCCTCTTCTCCTCTGCCTCGCCTTCCCCATCGGCTCGCCACCCCCCCTCGGCTGCACCCTCGTTTGGGTCTTCGGCCACTTCTGTGGAGCGCAACCGCCCAGCTCTCTCGCAGAAGACTGCCAGAGGCCGTCGGAGACCGCCGGAGGGCGATGAGCAGCACGAGGCCCACGGGTCGAGCGAGGGAGTGCGCCCTCGACCGCGCCTGCGCGGCCCTCCGCGGTCGCCCGCGCGGCTCTGCGGGGGGCGTTCTAAGGCAGCTCGCTGGGAGCCTCCCGGGGCATTTTGCGGGCGCCTGCGAAGCGATGCGAGTTGACGCTAAATCGACTCTGGTCGACGCTGAATCGGCGATATTTCATGGATTACCAGACGCTTCTATGTGCGAGTGCACGCTAGAGATGGGATGACGAGGGCTGCCCCCATCAGACATCTCTAGAACAAAAACGTGCATTCCCGTGATCTCCAGATCCAGTTCAAGAGAATTGCGAGTTTAGACTTGACCCTTTTTCCGTTTTCTTGACATTTCTTTTCTTCGTGGAATGTTCGTGTATCTGGGCATGGACTACTTGTGAAGAGAACGCTCGGAGTGAAGTCGGTTTCCTAGCGTGAGATTTTCTTAACTCTGAGCTGGGGAATACAAGTCTCCCGTGAGTTGCTGCCGAAGGCGCGGGCTGACGCCGACGCCTGCTCGGGCGGCGGCGGCTGCCAGGTGCCGCCGCTCGCGTGGGCCGCGGCGCAGGGCAACAAGAGGACGGTCCGCGTGCTGCTCGACGGCGGCGCCTGCCGCGGCCGCCTTGCGCAGGTGGAGCCGGCGCTGCTGGAGAGGCTGCCGCCGGAGCCTCCGGAGGAGGCGCCCTCGCCCCGCTCTCAGAAGGCCCCGCCTCCGTCTGAGACCTCCCAGATGGGGTCCGAGTAGAGGAGGTCGGAGGATCGCGCCGCATCGCGGATGCATCAGCGATGGGGAGGGCGGCCCCCCTTCAGCGCTTTCCTTCGCCCTGGTGGCTGACGAGGTGCCCGCCTGCAGCCTGGTCCAGTGCTGGCACTCGCTCATTGCAGCCAGCTCGCTCCCTGCGCCAGAGGGTCGCACGCCTTCAGGCTATACGCGCCTCCTCGTCCTCCTCCTTCTCCTCCTCCTCCTCCTCCTCTTCTTCCTCCTCTTCTTCCTCCTCATCCTCCTCCTCGGCCTCCTCCTCCTCCCTCCTCGTCATCTTTCTTTCTCCCTTCCACTCCCCCTCCTCATCCTCCTACTCTATCCTGAGGGGCCTAGGAGGCTGCCAACTGCTCTGGAACTCAGTGCCCACCTCGGGACGCCCTCGGGGGCGGGGTCCTTGGGCCAACGACGTGGCCAGAGCCGTGGCCCTTTGGGGCGCCTGGCTAGAGCACATGTCGCCTGGCGGGGACGTCTTGGACCCTCGGAGGGCCCATGATCCATCAGTCGGAGCTCGATCACGGAACGGACCAGGGAAGGCTTCGGGTTGCGCGCAGAAAGCTCCCCCAGGTAGTCCCGGCTGGTCCATTGAGGCCAGCTGGGGCTACTTGAGGTCTGAGGGGGCTGTTTGTGCTCAGCCTGAAGACTTTACACACGGACCTGGCTGCCCAGGCAAAGGCAGGCAGGGAGGTTTGGGATTTGTTTCTGCTGCATGAGGATCTGACACGTGAGCAGCAGCATGCAGGTAGCAACATCCACCGTGCGACTGCAGCCATGTTCCATTCAAGCGCTCCTGAAGAGCGGCCTGTGTGCCGCGAAAGCGAGAACTTGACACGTTTCACAATTGGGATCACCCCCAAAGGATGGCCAACATTTGGGTCTGGGCTTCTGGCCTGCAAGGTCAAGCTGAACCCCAAATTGGAGAGACACACGTATGCAGGCTCAGCGGCCATCTTGTTGGGACTGGGCACGGTCGATCGGGAATTCCGATCGCCGAGTTCGTTCGTGCCCACACTCTGGGACGGTCGGGCTGGCGTGCTCGGGATCGTCATCCAGCCGAGGTTCATTTTGGATGGATCTTCAAGGAGGAAAGGGCGTCCTGAGATCGAGGAAGAAAAACTGCACTGACACACGCACGTTCCACGGTCCGCGCGGATTTCATGGATCTGCGCGGGGCCCACCCGGCGGCGCCTCCAGCGCCGCCCCTGGCTCGCTCCGTGCTCCAGGGACGAGGCATCGGCGCAGAGCCACGAAGTCCGCGCGGAGCTCCGAAAGTTTTTCTGCTCGTGCCCTTCCTTCTGCTTCTTCTGGGAGAGATGGGGCCCGAGTGTGTTATAGGTGATGCCGGCTCTGGGAATTTCATGGTTGTCCATTTTGGTGTTTCAAGATGAGATTGTCCACGAGCTTGGCTTCCCCGGGGCCCGCCCCACTCGATTCGACGGGCGTCAGGAGCCGGTCCCAGGAGGAGCCCCCGGGGTCCAGGACCAGGGGCCGTCTTCTCCTCCTCCGTGCCAGCTTGGCAGGGGGGAGGGGCGTCACCTGGGCCTGCCTGGATCGGCGGCGGAATCCGGATCTCGCCCTCGCCGATCATCGGCTGAGGCAACTCGACGGGCGGCGGGAGGAGGGTGCGGAATTCGTCGGACACGTGGCGAAATCCGAACCCTAACCCAACCTCGCATCGATTCTGCAGAATCAATGGTTGGTGGCTTTCGGGGCATGACTCGTGCCTCCGGCGGCCGTTCTGGATGATCCGGGGAATCCCCGGAGTTCTCTTGGCGAGGCGCAGCTGCTGGAGAGCATCCACAGGCTAGAAAACCGACGAGCCGCCCGAAAACTCGGGAGGGAGACAGAGTAACTATCAATGACACGCTGCACACCAGAGGTTTTATTAACCATGCATGGCCGCGAGGAGTGCTTGTTTTTTTGCGGGGGGAAATAGAGTATCAATGACACGCTGCCGTGGGTAGCCCGTCAGAACGTTGCATCTTCGTGTTTGTCCGAAGCCTGGCCTCTCTTCAACCGTAACGCGCTGATGGGCTCCCACTGCGGCGTGCGATTGATATTATGTAGCCCCTCGCAGTTGCGGATCAGTGTGAGGGGGCGGGCGCGGGGTGGGTCGCGGGTAGGTTTCGGGCGGATCGCGGGTGGGCTGTGGGCGGGTCGCGGGCGGGTCGTGGATGGGGCGTAGGTGGGTCGCCGGTGGGTCGCGGGTGGGTCGCGGATAGGTGGCGGGTGGGTCGCGGGCAGGTCGGGTGTGGGTCTCGGGCCAGGCCGCGGATGGGACGACGGCAACAACAATTAATGTTAAGATTGTTTGTTCCTATCTGCTGGCGTGCCATCCAACCTGTATATCCCAAACCCTCGGTACCCGCCCTCGTCGTCTTCGATCGTACCCCCTTGGGGTTATATCTTCCTTACCTGCCACGTGCATGTGGCGCAACCCGTAAAACAGGGGAAGAGAGGACGGATGGAATGGGGGAGGAGGATGGAGCACGTGGCAGAACCAGATGAGCAGATCGGACGGGCAGACCCTAGCGGGCCGGTCGGGAAGTCTGGCCCAGGTGGGCAGGTAGAGCAGGCGGGTTGCTGAAGCGTGAGTCCTGCTTGAGTAGCGAGGAAGTGTCGAGCGACGTCGCGGTTCGCAAGTAAATCGTATAAAAGCCCAGAAAGCGTGGTTCCTGAGTGTCGAGGGCGCGGCGTCTGAATACATTGTGAGGAGGTCCCACGCCAGAGCGCAACCACATTCACAGCATCAGCAACATTAACAATATCAGCAACGTCAGCAACAGCAACAGCAACAGCAACAGCAACAGCAACAGCAACAGCAACCGCAACCGCAACCGCAACCGCAACCACAACGACAACAACAGCAATAGCAACATCAACAACAACATCAACAACACCACCACCAACAACAACATTACAAACCACACCACCGCCAACAACAGCAACAGCAGCAACAGCAAACACAAACAACAAACATCAAACAACATACAATACACAACACACAGCAACGCAACAACAATCTCCCCCGCGGAACCCCACTTGTGCCACGCATCCAGGGACAGTGTATGGCCGTTCTGCTCCCCGATATTGGGGGCCCTCAAGCGGTGTGGTGACCACACCGCGCGGTCAGTCAGTGGGGATTCGGGATCTCCGAACGGTTTTGGGACTCGGGTCGTTCTTCGAGGACGTTTTGGGTGATTTGGGCCTCCAGGGTCCCAAAATTGCACGGTGATGGAAAGCGCGGTGAGGTCGCTGGGGATTCCGAGGTCATCACGCGGTCGGTCGCCACACGGCTTTGCCGGTAAGCCTTGTTTGTCCTTCCAGGAGCACCGTTAGACCCTGAGATCCGACGTCGTGAAAAATTTGCCACATCCAGAAAAATCACGACCAGAGCTCCAGACCCCATCTTTCTGCATCATTTTTCGAGCCGGATCGATCTGTGAGGGTCCTGGGGCCCGACACTGGGCGGAAAAGCCGGGCTCGAAAAGACTGCGACGTCAGGATCTCATGGTCCGTGTGAGGCCGGGCTTAGGGCTTTCGAGGTTCGAGATTATTTCGGGCGGTTTCGCCGGCCTTCGACGGTGTCCCAGCCTCTGGGTGTTCGGTCGAGATTCATGGGATCCTGGTCTAACCTCGCAAACCGTCTTTGGCGTCGATTAGCGTCGAGTAGCACCTGGAAGCCGATGAGATACCGCCAATTCAGCGTCGTTTGGCGTCGGTGAGCGTCGACTAGCGTCGATCCGCAAGAGCCAACAAGATGGTATGGGAGGCTCACAATGAGCTGCCACCGAAGTCTCGCTGGCCCCCGGCGGCTTCCCAGCCTCGGGGAAACCTTTCAGGGGGCGCGCCTCGCCAAGCAGCCGCACCGAGGCCCGGCCTGCGGGCCTGCGCGCCCGCGCCGCCCGCGGGAAGCCTCGAGCGGCGGGGAGCGTCGCTGCGGTCGCGGTCGATGCCGCTGCCGGCGCTGCCGGGCATGGCCGGCGGGGGCTGCCGTGCGGCCGGGGGTCGCCATGGGGGAAAGGGGGCCCTCGAGGGGAACCTCTGAGGTTCCCTGGACATCCGATCCTCGTAAAACATCGAGGATCTGCAATCATTTTAGGAGATCCTCGATCTTGATCGAGGATCCGTATCAATATCGAGGATGTTCTCGCTCGTGATCAGCGATTTTCGCGAGCCTGGCTTTTCCGCCTGCTGTTGGGCCCCGGGACCCTCACAGATCGATCCACGTCGAAGAACGATATGCAGAAAAAGGGGGTCTGGGGCTCCGGTCGAGACTTCCTGAGGGGAGGCCCGGGGGCCCACATCCCCTGTCGAAATCACACGCAAGTTTGTCCCGCGACGTGGCGGCGCCCCAGGGCCCCAAAATATCAAGGTTCGCGCCGAAATTGGCGACTGAAAGCACAAGAGTCTGACCCCGTGGGCCACGTTTCGCGCGTCGACCGCATTACAACTTGCTTTTGACTTCGGGGAGGGTTGCAGGACCCGTTTTTCTATCAGGACCCCTTGCCCCCGTGCTGAGGCGGCGGCCGCAGCGCCGTTTCGCTGAGCGGCTCGCTGGCCCTGTAGGATAGGACTTTAGGACTCGCCCCCGGAAGGGGCTGGACGTAACCCCTAAGGGTCTTTTGTTTGGGTCCCCTCCCTTTTCACTCGGCGGCGAATCGGACTGGTCCTACAACCTCCTCCTCCTCATCCTCCTCCTCCTCCTCCTCCTCCTACTCCTCCCCCCTCGCAGTCGCAATCGTAGTTGTAGCTGTCGTCGTCATTGTTGCGCGGCGGGTGCCGCGGAAAATAATAGTAAATTATCAGACCTACCGGTGTGACCTCGCACTGCATTATTTCGACCGACCGACCGTGCTTGGGATGTGCGCTGGACTGGGATGTGTGCTGGGATGCGTGCTGGGACGTGCGTTGGGACGTGTGCTGCCTTCGTGTGCTGGGGTGTGTGCAGGGCTGTGTGCTGCCTCCTTGTGCTGGGATACGTGCTGGGATGCGTGCTGGGTGTGCTGGGGTTCACCGTGCCCCCCCGTCCACCCCCTCCTCCCTTCCGACTGACCCACCGTGCGCGCCCCCCGCCCTCTCCGCCCCGTGGCACCCGTCTCCTCATTCCGACCGACCGACTGTGCCCCGCCTTGCCCGACCGTGCCCACCCGCCCCCCTGCCCCCCCGCCACATGCTTATTCCGACCGACCGTGCCCACACCCCCTGCCCGACAGTGCCTTCCCGTCCCCCTGCTCCCCTTCCCCCCGTGGCCCCCCGTCTGCATATTCCGACCGACCGACCGTGCCCCCCCCCCACACCCCCTTCGCCCGTGGCCCCCCGTCTGCTTATTCCGACCGACCGACCGACCCTGCTGCTCCCCCGTCCACGCCCCTTTTTTTCCCATTGACCAACCGTGCGCCCCCCCGCCCTCTCCGCTCCGTGGCACCCGCCTGCTTATTATCATACCTACCGGTGTGATCTCGCACTGCATTATTTCCACCGGCCGACCGCGCCTGAGATATGTGTTGGGCTCAGTGTGCTGAGATGCGTGACTGCCTCGGTGTGCTGGGCCAGGCTTCGTGCTGGGATGTGTCGGTGTACTGCCTCGGTGTGCTCGGTGCTGGGATACTGCCTCGGTGTTCTAGGTGCTGTGATGTGTCCGTGTACTGCCTCGGTGTGTTGGGATCGGTGTGCTGAGATGTGTGGACGTACTCGGGTGTGCGCTGGAGGTGCTGGGATGTGTGGAGGTGTGCCAAGATATGGGCTGGGTTTGTCCTGCCTCCGTGTGCTGGAATGTGTGATTGCCTCGGTGTGCTGCGATATGTGCTGGTCGTGGCCCCCCTGAATGTGCGCTGGATGTGCTGGGATGCGTGGAGGCGTACCAAGGTGTGTGCTCGTTTGTGTTTTCTCCGTCTGCTGGCATGTGTGCTTACCTCGGTGTGCTCCGATATCTGCTCGCCGTGGCCCCCGTCTGGGTGTGCTGGGATGTGTGCTCGGTGTGCTCGGTGTTGGCCTGTGTCGGCGTACTCTTTCGGTGTGCTGGGATGTGTGATGCCTCCGTGTGCTGGGATGTGTGCTGGAATGTGTGTTGGGTGTGCTGAGATGTATGGGCGTGCTGTGATGTGCTGCGATATGTGTTGGCCGTGGCCCCCCCTGAGTTTTCTGGGATGCCTGCTGAGATGTGTCGGTGTACTGCCTCGCTGTGCTGTGATATGTGCTGGCCGTGGGATGTATGCTCGGTGTGTTCGGCGCTGCCCTGAGTCGGTGGTACTCTTTCGGTGTGCTGGGATGTGTGTTGCCTCCGTGTGCTGGGATCTGTGTTGGGATATGTGCTGGAATGTGTGCGGGGTGTGCTGGGATGTACGGGCGTGCTGTGATGTGTTCCGATCTGTACTGGCCGTGGCCCCCCTGAGTGTGCTGGGATGCGTGCTGCGATGTGTCGGTGTACTGCTTCGGTGTGCTCGGTGCTGGGATGTGTCGGTGACCGACCGTGCTCCCCCCCGCCCGACCGTGGCCCCCCCGTGGTCCCGGTCCCCCCTTCCTCCCGTGTCCCCCCTCTGCCCATTGAGACCGACCAACCGTGCCCCATCCCCCCCTGCCCGACCGTGGCCTCCCGTGCCCCCCCCCCCCCCTTTCTTCTGATAGTTCCGACCGACCGACCATGCCCCTCCCCCTGCCCAACCGTGTCCATCCGTGCCCCCTCTTCCCCGGTGCCCTCCCCCTCTCTGTTTTTTTTTTCCGACCGGCCGACCGTGCCCCCCCTTTTCCCCCGCCCGACAAAGGCACCCCGTGCAACCTTTCCCCCGTGCCCCCCCCCGTCTGCTTATTCCGACCGTCCCCCGTGCCCCCCTCCCCTTTGCTCATTCCGACCAACCGACCGTGCCCTTCCCCTCTGCCCGACCGTGGCCCCCACGTGCTTCCCCTCTCCTCCCGTGCTACCCCCTCTCTGTATTCCGACCGACTGACCATCCCCCCCTCCCCTGCCCGACCCTGCTCCCCCGTGCCCCCCGTCTCCCTTCCTGTGCCCCCCCTCTGCATATATTCCGACCGACCGACTGTGTCTTCTCCCCCCCTGCTCGACCGTGGCTCTCTGCCGACCGACCGTGCCCCCCCCCCCCCGCCCTGCCGGACCGTGGGCACCCCGTGCCTCCCCCCCCTCCTCCTTGAGCCCCCTTCTGCTTATTCCGACCGACCGACCGTGCCCCCCCCCCCTCTGCCTGACCGTGTCTTCCCGTGCCCCCCCGTTCCCCCCGTCCCCCTTCTCTGCTTAGTCCGACCGACCGACCGTGCCGCCCCACCTGCCCGACGTTGCCCCCCCGTGCCCCCCCTTTCCTCCCGTGCCCCCCCTCGTCTGCTTATTTCGACCTATCGACCGTGACCCCCCCTCTGCTCGACCGTGGCTCCCCGTGCCCCCCCCCCTTCCCCCCGTGCCCACACCCTCTGCTTATTCCGGCCGACCGACCCTGTCCACCCCCCAGCCCGACCGTGCCCCCCCGTGCCCCCCCCCTCCGTGCCCCCTCTTATTCCGACCGACTGACCGTGCCCCCCGCCTCCCCTTTGCCCGACCGTGGTCTCCCGTGCCCCCCATTCCCTCCGTACCACCCCCCCCTCTGTTTATTCCGACCGACTTGCCGTGCTTCTCCCCCTGCCCGACCGTTGCCCCCCGTGCCCTCCCCGTCTCCCCCCGTGCCTTCTCCCTCTGCGTATTCTGCCCGACCGATCGTGCCCCCCGGGGGCCCCCCCCCCCCTTCCTTGCCCGACCGTGGCCCCCCGTGCGCCCCCCTCCTCTCTGCTTACTCCTACCGACCGACCGTGGCGCCAAAGTACACCATGGCTCCGACGAGCTCACAGTGACGTAACACGCTTTTCACACCAAGGCTCCCAAGAGCGAGCAATTTTGCAACAGTTCGTCAAACATGTATTCTGCGTGTCTTTGGGGGCCCTCCGGAAGGTTTCTTGGAGGCCTTTTGGGGCGTCTTGGGGGCATCTTGGGCCGTCTGGAGGCCATCTTGGGCATCTTGGACCGACCGTTCGACGACTCGGGGCCCTTTTCCCACTGTCTTGGCGGTCTCTGAGGGCCCTCTTGGCCCGTCTTCGGGCCCTCGTGGCGCCCCAGAAGCCCAAGCGACACACCCCAGGCCCGCGCAAGGGCCCGGGCCCTTAAGAACCTTACAGGTCCACTGCCTCTCAGGGCTGCATGGGCCTTGGCCTTTGGGCACTCCACAACGTGCTGAAGACACGGTCGCGGATATTGGCTACGCAAGCCATCGCGTCCCCCCTTTTGGGACCAAACGTTTCGCTCCATACAGGCGGCCTGTATTGTATATCACGCCGCTGGAGCTTCGCGAACATCTCCCGTCATACTAAGATCGCCTTCAGATCGAACCTGGCGCTGCGTCCACACAGCCATGCTGCTATTCGGCGCTCCCCCGTAATGGTCACTCGTCAGCGTTTCGCAGCACTCGCGCGCTTCCCCGAAACTACCACAGGTTGGCGCCATCCAACGCCATCTCCATCTCCCATTGTCCCGCACCCGTGATTGTATGATCCTTGGCACGCGTGCCTCTTGTAATTCGTCCCCCCTAATTGGTGGGACCCCAGTCCTCAATAAGGCCGCCGAATAAATCATTAGTGGCCCCCGATGGGGGGGGTTCTACAGACCCTTCGCGCTTGCATCGGCCACTGACAGGACGCCCCCCCCAGACAAGTCGAACGAGGAAATCTGCACCGGTCCACTCGGCATTGGCACCCGGGTGTGCTGGTGGAGTCCCCGGTCGGTTTTGCTAATCGACGCGCGTTTCGCCGGATCTATTCGGCTGTTTCAAAATGTCGATTAGCTACTCGGCTGAGGTGCACTCGCGTTGTGTTGCCGTGCTGACGTGGGGTGCCCCTGGCAGCTTTCACTGAAGCGCGTGTGGCCAAAGGGGTTTCTGTCCAGCCCCAACATGCCTGGACCTCCACGATCCGTCTTTTTCAGTCCGGGAGTTTGTCCTCGATTTCGGCCTTGGAGGCCCCTGATCGGGCCCTGGGACCATCAAACATGGATCGCGGGCGAACACCTATCCCTCGGTCAGGATCTCTGGGGCCGCGCATGAGAAAATCAAATCGAGGATGCCTGTATTTAACTGCCTGCGGCAAGTCCCGCCACAGCAAGCAAGTCATTCTGGGTGGCGACTATTCGTTAATGCATTTCAGGCCGTCGCGTGTAAGACCTCGTGTTGACAGGTTTGGGAGGGCAGTGCTAAGTGTGATGAAGATTATGATGACGATGGGGAGAATGGCGATGGTGATGATGACTAGTGGTGATGATGGGGATGATGATGAAGATGCTGATGATGATAATGATGGTGAATGTGGCGATGATGATGGTTATCGTGGTGACGATGATGATGGTGATGACGATGACGATGATGATGATGCTGATGATGATGATGGTACTGATGGTGATGATGGTGATGATATGAACCATGATCTATTGCATGACGATGATGATATTGGTGATGATGATGATGATGAATTCGATGATGATGCTGATGGTGATGATAATGGTTCTGCCGCTGCTGATGATGATGATGGTGATTGTGATGGTGATGACGATGGTGGTGATTGTGATGATGATGGCGAGGACTATGATGCTGATGATGATGTTGTTGGTGATGATGATGTTCATGATGACGCTGCGCCTGTTGATTGTAATGATGGCCGTTATGATGATACTGATGATGACGATAGTGCAGATGATAGTGATGGTGATGATGATGCAGATGCTGATGTTTTTTTGCTTGTGGTGATGATGCTGCCAATGGCGGTGGTGATGGTGATGGTGATTGTGATGAGTTTGGTGATGGTGATGATGGCGATGAGTATGATGATGCTGCTGATGATGGTGATGTTGTTGATGATGATTATGGTGGTGGTGATGGTTGTGATGGTGATGATGACGACGTCGGCGATGAGGATGTGGATGAGGGTGAGGATGAGGACGATGGTGATGAAACTCGATTGAGCCGTCTTGGGGCTGTCTGGGCATCCTGTGAGGCAGTCTTGGGGCTCCCTTGGGGCCGTCTTGAGGCCCTCTTACGCCGGCTCGGGGTTCCCTTGGGCCATCTTGGCGCCCTCTTGGCCGTATGGTGGGTGTCTGTGGGCCGTCGTTGGGCCGTCTTGGCGCCGCCGTGTGCTGTCGAAGGGCCTTCTAAGGACATCTTGGGGCTAGCCCTGTTCGGCCGTCTTTGGGCCGTGTTTGGGCCGTCTTGGATGCCTCTCGGGCCATCGTGGAGTCCTCTTGAACCGTCTTGAGTTGACGCCAGCCCGAAAAGGCCAGATGCGGAAATCACCCCAAAACCACAGGGCAATCGATGAGTTTGGCTCTTGCGGACCCTTTTGGACGTCCTCTTGTGGCCCTGTTGGGCCTCATTGGATGCATTTTGGGCCGTGTTGGTGCCCTTGGTTGCTTGCGCTGGCCGTCTTGGAATCTCGGGGCGTATTTCCATCGCTTATAGCGAGGTATCGTGGCTTGGGAGGCCCTGCAGCGCTTGGGGGCTGCGCCTCGGAATGCGGGAAGTGCACGATCCTCGAGCGGGTGCGCGTGGGATGAAGGGTCCAGGAGGCAGCCCTGCGGGAAGTGCGCAATCCTCAAGCGGGCGCAATCCTCAAGCGGGCGCAATCCTATTAGCTGCCATGCGGGGAATGCACCATCCTCGAGCGGGCACGCGTGGAAAGGGTGGTTCGGCATTAGTTGCTATGCTGGAAGTGCACCCTCCTCGAGCGGGCACGGGGGAAGTGGCGTCGGAAAGGGAAAGGATGGGCGATGCATGCGGCAGTCTGCGGGTAGAGGGGGGGCGTCCTTGGCAGAATTCAAACACACCGTACCAGGCAGCCCTTGGCATTCTTTCACGCCTCTGCGTGCCAGGAGACGTCGTTCGGCTGGTCAATGAGCCAAGGCGTTCGGCGACGGAGTTTGGTGCACAAGCGCCCCAGCATCCCACAGCTTCGGAAGCCAGGCCGTCTATGCACCGAGCTCTTTGGCCGACAAGACGATTTGTTTTATCGAAGACGCCTACGGCGAGTCACCGCCGCCCCCTGCCTGTGGAGGAATCGCCCGTGTGGCCGAGTGATGTGGCAAGAGCTCTGCCAAGCTATCGGACCATGTGTTCCCCAAGCCGTTGTGGAAACCCTTCGGGGTGCACGTGTGGGAGGATGGCGGGGAAACTCAGGAGGAGGAGGAGGAGGAACCGGAGGAGCAGGAGTAGCAGGGGGAGGGGGATACAGATCAGGAGGAGCAGGAGGAGGAGGAGGGGGAGGGGAAGGGGGAGGGGTAGGAGGAGGAGGAGGAGGAGGAGGAGGAGGAGGAGGAGGAGGAGGAGGAGGAGGGGGAGGGGGAAAAGGAGGAGAAGGAGACGGATCAGTGTAAATCCAAGAGTCGTCAACGATGTTGAAATAAACCCATCCTCCAAGCTTCGTCTCCATAGGCCCCTACAACTGTTCATTTCCATTGAGGGAACTGCCCCGTTTGAAGACAGCCGTTTGAAGACCCTGAAGCATGCCAAGACATTGTTCTCGGGATTCCAGCGCCACGGATCAACCTGACTGTTGCGTCTGGACGGGCTTGCATCGTGCCAGAACGCCATTGCTGGGACTATAACACCGCGAATCAACGTAACTGTTGCGCCCGCGTTATCCTGAATCCATCCATGACGCAATTTCTTGTAGGCTGACCATGGAAATCCGTGAAATTCTTGCAACATCTATGAACGAATGTGCGCGGCGCTAAGGCGAGAGCCACAGTTTGACAAGGAGCCGCCCTCGGAACGTGAAGCTCCTGCAAGTGTTGCAAACGAATGTGCGCGGCGCCAAGGCGAGAGCCACATTTTGAAAACGGGTCGCCCTCAATCCGTGAAGCTCTTGTTCATACGAATGTGCGCGGCGCTAAGGCGAGAGCCACATTTTGAAAACGGCCCGCCCTCAGGTTGTGAAATCGTTCGTACAAATAGAACACGAAGGTGCGCGGCGCTAAGGCGAGAGCCTTCTTTTGAAAACGACCCGCCCTCCATCTGTGGAATTGTTGCCAATGTTTACGCTTCAGAATCATAATGGTGAGGAGGTCTCCGGCGAAACGCCCTGCTCGCCCTACACATTGGCCTCGGGGTGCGACAGGAAGAAGTTACTGATAAGGAAAAGGAATGGAGGAGAAGGAGGAGGAGGTGGAGGAGAAGGAGGAGGAGGAGGAGGAGGAGGAGGATCATGAGGAGGAGGAGGAGGCATCTTGGGAGCCTCTGGAGGAGGAGGAGGAGAGGAGGAGGAGGAGGAGAGGAGGAGCAGCAGCAGCAGCAGCAGCAGCAGGAGCAGCAGGAGCAGGAGCAGGAAGAGCAAGATAATCAGAAGGAGGAGGAGGCAGATCAGGAGGAGGAGGAGGAGGAGAAGCAGGAGGAGGAGGAGGGGGAGGAGGAGGTGCAGAAGCAGGAGGAGGAGGAGGAGGAGGAGGAGGAGGAGGAGGAGGAGGAGGAGGAGGAGGAGGAGGAGGAGGAGGAAGGGGCATCTTGGGAGCCTCTGGGGGCACTCCTGGGGCCTCCTGGAGCCTTTTGCCTTTGGGGGCTTCTCGGGGGCCTCTGAGGCTGTTTTACGGCATTCCTGGCCCGTCTGACGCAGTCGGAAGCAGCCTTGGGGGCTTCTCCAGGCGTCTTGGAGGCATCTTGGGCAGTTTGGGGACCCTCCTGGGGCCGTCTTGGGGACCTCTTGGTCCGTTCTGGGGCCATCTTGGAGGCCTCTCGGGCGATCTTGGGGCGATCTTCTGGGAGCTCCTGGGCCGTCTCGGGCCGTCGGGAGGCCGACAAGAAACACATACACCGCACTCACATCTATACCCCTAGGTGGGTGTATGTGCGGCCGTTTTTGCGCTGTCATGTGCGCGCATGTGCGCGGCATGTGCCAGTCATGTGCCAGGCCTGTGCGGTCTTTCCTGGATGGACTTCCTACTGTGCACGTCGTGCCCGGGCATGTGCGGGGGCATGTGCGCTGTGTTTTGATGCATCCATCATACGCACATGCACGCACAGTCCGACGCACATGCGCGCACATGCCTGCACATGCGGGAGGTGTTCGAGAATCGCAGATCTGTCATCGGCACATGCACGCACATGCCTGTGCAACCTCTCTTCGGGAGGCCGCGCGGGCCCGCACATGCACGCACATGCGGTGAAGCGCGCGGGCGCACATGCGTGCACATCCCAATGCACATGCACGCTCATGCCCTAGGAGCTGTCTGGGACCCCTGTGCCTCCAATGCCTCCTGGCCTTCGCAGAGCTAACTGGGGCTGAGGTGGTCAGACCACTCTCCCCATCCTCGCAACTCTGACCTCAGAGATCTCTTGCCCCTATGGTGGTCAGGCCACTTTCGCTTGAGACATCCTCACAACTCAGACCTCGGAGGTGTCCTGCCCCAAGGTCGTCTGGTCACCTTGACCAGCGACATCCTCGCCACTCTGGTTTCCAAGATGCCCTGCCCCATGGTGATCCGGCCACGCTTGCCTGAGACATCCTCGGAACTCTGGGTTGCGAAATGCCCCGAGCTCAGGTGGTCAGGCCACTATCGCCTGCGACATCTCTGCGGCATGTGCGGGCATGTGCGTCTATGCTTTCAGAGTTTTGCTTGACCGTGCATTCGACTGTGCGTCGGACGGTGTGGCATGTGCGCGCATGTGCGGCAATGCTGTTGAGGCTTTTGTATATTTGCATGGGCATGTGCATGCGACTGTGCGGCATGTGCCTGCATGTGCGGCCCCTTCCGGACCACAATTTCAAAGTGAGCACTATAGAAGTGAGCGCTATAGAAGTGAGTCCGGTGTACCAACATCCTTCAAACACCTCAAGGACACATATGATGTTGGTGTCTTCGGGCCTTCCTGGAGGTCCTCTGGAGGCCTCTGGGGCCGTTTTGGACGCCTATTATGGGGCCTTTTGGATTGTCTTGGGCCATCTTGTAGGCATCCTGGGCCATCTTGGTGGGCTCCTGGCCCGTCTGACGCCGTCGGAAGCTGTCTTGGGGGCCTCTCTAGGCCGACTTTGGACCCTCTTGGGGTGCTCCAGGGCCGTCTTGGAGGCCATCTTGGCCGTCTTGGGTGCCGCTTGGGCCATCTTGTGTGCCGTTTGGGGCCCTCCTGGGACAGTTTTGGGGGCCTCTTGGGCCGCTCTGGGGCCATCCTGGAGGCCTCTTGGGCCGTCTTTGAGCTCCTCGTGGCAGTCTTGGGGGCCTCTTGGCCCGTTCTGGGGCCATCTTGGAGGCCTCTTGGGCGCTCTTGGGGCGATCTTGGGGGGCTCTTGGGCCGTCTCGGGCCGTCGGAACGTCAACAAGAAGCAATTGCCAACATCCTTCAATGAAATCAATGATGGGGGCCTCTTCGGGCCTTCCTGGAGGTCCTCTTGGAGGCCTCTGGGGCCGTTTTGGATGCCTATTAGGGGGCCTTTTGGGCCGTCTTGAGCCATCTTGAGGCAATATTTAGCCGTCTTGGTGGCCTCTTGGGCGGACTTAGAGGCATCTCGGGCCCTCTTGGGCCGTCTTAGAGGCCATCTTGAACCATCTTGGGCGAACGTGAAGGCCATCTTAGAGCCATCTGGACAGGGACACTTTTGGCAACCAGGGTTTCTGTGTGGCCAGCGGGACGTGCCGAAGCCCCCCGGGGAGAGTTCGTTTGGACAAATTACCCAAAACCAAAAGCGGTGGGTTCAGCACGCCAGGCACCCCTGTGGCAAGACCGCAGCGGGTTGTGGATATCGAATGGCCTTCGGCCCACCCCGCCACCGCGCCTGGCTTGTAGGTCAGAGTTCTCAGGGATGTTTCGTGGGGTCTCTTCGGATCGCTCTCGGGGGGCCAATTTGTGAATCAGTTATTGGGCCCCTCGGGAGCATCTTGGGGCCCTCTTGGGAGCCTCTTGGGAGCCTCTTGGGGGCTTCTTGGGGGCTTATTCAGGCCTCCTGGGGCCGTCTTGGGGCCGAAAGCTCGAACTGTCCGTTCGGGGTCCTGTGGGCCTCCCCTCTTCTTGGGGCCGTCCTGGGGCCTTCTTGAGCGTCTCTTAGGCCGTCTTGGGGCGATCTTGGGGGCCTCTGGGGCCATCTTGGATGTTGTGAGAGCCCAAAAGGCGAATATTCTGAACAAATCATTTTTCCTAGAAGGAAGGGGTCGACTTTTGCATCTTGTGTCGTCCTTGGGCGCTCCTTGACCGTTTTGGGCGCCTTGGGGGGAGTCTGCGCGAATTTCTCCAGGTCGTTTCGGGCGTTGGAACCGCCCCGGAGGCCCAGGCGGAACACCCTTGGAGCGCCCAAGAGCGCCGGGAAGCGCCCCTGAAATTGGTGGTCCAGGCCCTGAAGAAACTACAAAAGTTGTTGCAGCAGCAGCAGCACGGCTGTGAGCATTGGGGAACCCCACTTCGTGCCAGAGGCACGGTGGCGGATTTCGAGCCTCTCCCACGCCCTCCTTGGTCTCGGCCTATTCGTGCTCGCCCACACCCCAGTACTGCGTTGCACTTGTCACTTGATGGACTCAGTCGGCCTTGCTGTTGAGAAGGTGATCTTCCGTATCCTCATCATTTCTCCTCTGCGTCGTCGTCCTTCTTCTCGCCTTCTCCTCACTACCTGTACTGTATTCCCTTCCTCCTCTTCCGATTTGTGTATGTATTTCTCTCTCTCTCTCTCCTTCTCTCTCTCTCTCTCTCTCTCTCTCCCGACCCCCTGACATCCTCCTCCCCCAGCCTTACCCCACCATCGTTTCTTCATTGATCTAAGCCTAGAAGTTGTCCTTCGCAGTCCGGGATCGACAAAGTCAATCAGCCTCCTGCACATGAATGCCGATTTGTGTAGGCGTTCCATCAGACCACACTTCAGACTCGCTGTAAAGTTACGTCATGGTGGGGTTCTTGGCTTCCTTTCTGGACTAGTCGGCGGCAAGCAGACCTCTTGATCCCTCTCTGGTTATGCAGCATCTGTGCCCGCTCTCTTCACGCCAGCCATACGCACGTGCGGGAGTCATCATGTCTACTCTTGGACGCGGCTTGACCGACACCGAGCCTTGCCTCAGGGTCACTGGGCAAGGTTGGCCTGGTAGCTGGACAGGTGCAGGGGAGTGACCGCCGAGATACGTGCGCCACTTGTTCCCGATGTCCACGTGAAGGGTATAGGTCGGCGGTGCTGCTGGGCAGGAGGATAGTGTCCAGGGGCATCGGAAGCCAGCTCTGAAGACTAGGTGTCAATTCGCTGACCCAGGCCAGTTGGACGGCCTGTGGCCTGGACGGTCGGCGACAGCGCTTGGCGACATCATGCAGTTGCACCCCTCCTCTCGTCCTCCCTCCTACCTCTTCATGCCTCTGTCCCGGTTGCTTTCCTCTTCTCGGCGCAGTCCTGCGAGCATGCACGGTTACATATGTCTCGCCTTCATTATTGCGCTGAGTTTTCTTCGGAGGCATGTTGCGCGCTGGTCTGCCAGCGCTGGTTTTTGGCTTCACGGGCGCCCGCCTTAGTTTGGGGGCCTGATCCAAGGTACGCCATTTCTTGACTATCGATCCAACGCGGCCCGATCTTGGTATCCTGATCGTATCCTTCCATGCCAACTTGGATGCCATCTTTGGTTCTGCCTGATCGTTATGCCCTTCGGACTGAAGCCCCCGTAGTTCGCATCCCAGGCTCAGTGAAAGTTCAGCAGTCGTGTCGGGGCCAGCCCGGGCCTCACAATGAGGTGGAAATACGGTCTTGCCACAAGCCGCGACGCACGTCTATAGAACAGGTCAGGGCATGCGTGACGAACGAAGGTCAGCGCAAACGGCGGCCTTTCCCAGGCCCCCCTTGGCCTCAGGAGCAGAGTCGCTCTGAAGGAATGGGTGGTTTCAAGGCCGGGTTGTAGTGCTACCACAGGGCAGTTGCTTCTTTTGGAGTGTCTCCTTTCTCCGTGTACTAGTCGCTTCATCCAGGACCCGTCGCGCGAGGCTGAGACTGTTTGGGGGGGGTATCCGCTAAACTCGGTGAATCTGTCGTCGAATTCCAAACTGGCGTTTTCGCATTGCTTATAGGCCTATGAGGCTACACTTCAAGTTGCTTGTAGAAATTCCTCGGATGCCCATAGACTTGAAGATGCCCCAAACAGGGGCCAAGATGCCCCTGGAAGGTTCCGAGAGATCTTCTTAGACGCCACCATGCCCAAAGGTGCCCACACGAGGCCTCCATCGGACCACCCAATGGTGAGAATCACGTTGAAAAATTCTTAATCACCCGCAGAATGGCGAGGCAATCGAAGACCAATCTGGGTTTGCTTAGCTCTGACTGCTCGGACTCGAGGCGTGCTCTTTGCAAGACGGCCGCACACGAGGACCAGCAGGCAGCAGGAGCTGAACGACACATATGGCCAAGCTGACATGGAGGTCTGCCAAATAGGCAGGGTCCTCCAACCTCTTTGCGCATGTCTTGAATATCGTCATTTGGAGATCGTCCGTGGCGGCAGAGCCTGCTATTCCAAAGTGTGATCGGCATCAGTCTGCGTAGCGTTCATTGCAGCAGGTGCCATTATTGTCGCAGTCCCCGCCCGCCCTCAAATTAGAATTCTTGTTTCAGTCGTATCAGAAGCGAGCTTCTGTTTTTGGCAGTGCACTTACTGTTGCCCGCGGTAGCCTCCTTCGGCGCATCCGCTACGGTGCCATCGAAGCACTCTGTGGTGCGATCTTTCGATCATCGCCCAGAAGGTCGTCACGTTTGACACCTCTCATCCTCACTTCTGCTGAAACTATCATGTGGCCAATTTGGGCCGTTGTGGGGATGTCTTTGTGGGCTCCTGTGGGGGAGTGGGTCCATGGAGATCCCTCAGGCCATCTTAAGGCTCTCTTGGGCAGTCTTGGGGCTCGATTGGGCTTTCGGCCGATCTTGGGGCTGTGGGGATCTCTTGGGGCCGTCGTGTGGCAGTCTTGGGTCGTCTTGGGGCCCTCATTGGCCGTGTTGGGTCCCGGAGGCCTTGTTGGGCCATCTTGGGGCTCTTTCGGGGCCGTCCTTGGCCGTCTAGGGTCTAGGGCCCTCTTAGGGCCCCCAGTGGGCACATTTGGGATTTCGAAGACCACAAGTGGCCGATCTTCGACCAAAGAGCTTGGACAGCCAATCCAATTGAGCAACATGCTCAACACAACATATTGTATTCGGCTTCTCGAGGGCCTCCTGGATAGCGTCTTGAGAGATCTGGGAGCCAGTTGGAGGTCTCTTGAGATCTAATCGATGCTTCTTGGGAGCTGGGCTGTTGAGTGCGTCCTGAGGCACTGTTGGGCTGGCCTTGGTGGCCTTGCTTGGCTGGTCTTGAACGCCCTCGAGGGGCTTTGACAGCCCCAGGAAGGCCTCGGCACCGCCCAGGGAGCCTCAGGACGGGGGGGGGGAGAGGCACGCAAGAAAGCGCTCGGAGAAGAGACGGCCTCAGAAGACTTTGAGAAACCCTTCCATGCATCACCTCGTACTCCACCGCGCCTCAGCGCGTCAGGGGGTACGGCAGCGTATTGACGCAGAGGTGCAGTGTTCAAAGGCATTGAAAGTGACGAGCAGCTATGTGCACACATATGTGTACATGAATATGGGGCGTTCCCAAAAAGGGTCTTGCCTTCGAGAGTCGAGGGGGCTGCCATCTCTTCCTCGGCGGAAGGCGGCGGAAGGTCGGCGGAAGTAAAGCGTGGCCGCCTTCGCCGGCGGAAGACGGCGGAAGTAAAATATGCGCCTCCCAAGATATGAACACGTGTTTGGGTTCACGGTTTCCGAACCTGCCCACGTGTATGTACAGCATGCAAACATGCATCGATATACACGTACAGGCAGGAATGTTGGCTCATCGTGCAGCGCCGCCGGTTCTGACCCACCACGCCTCGGCGCCGACATGCTAACTACTTCCCGGTCGCCGAGCGTCAGTGTCCTGAGCCTTTCCCAGCCTTCCGCCCCGCGGAGCGGAGCGACTAGCGATCCGATCGCAGGGCATAGCGTCTCGCTGGGGCCGCCGCGTCGTCATGCTGAGCAGAAGTTCCTGACCGTAGAAATCGCTATCGGATCCTAACGCCTAAGGCTCGGGGCCACCCACGCCACTGCAGGGCGCCGCCAGGACGCGCACAACGGGGCGGTCCGAACCTTCCGTTGGCGTCAACAGGGGTCGTTCAGCTTCGGCGAAGCCTAGGAAGGGGCTGCAGACATCGGGCGACCTCGGAGCTAGGACCTCCTTGCTGGTTTTTAGAGCTATTCTGGTTCCTGTGCTCTCGTTCTCTTATGCAGTGCACACTTGAGAGTTCGTGCCGCGTCCAGAGGCTGTCTCCGAAGTTTTCCGAGCCCTGGCCGTACTCTTCGGCTACGACGTGGGGTCCGCACGGCAGTGCGCTGTCGGGGTGCTTCCGACTCTCCTGCGGAGGGTCAGGCAGACAAGTTGACATTCGCCTTTCAGAGCTGATGAGCTCCCCATCCCTCGATCGGAACTGACCGTACATCTCGAGGGGCACAATGTCTTGACTGATGACCCCCATCGACACACCACCAACCCCCTCCGATGCGCGCGTAACAACTACATCATCTCAACAGGGAGATGATGGCATGTCTATTGCGAGGCCGCGCGTCTTTTGTTTGGCTTTCCTTGGCGCGCAATGCGCGTAAATATGATCCTGAGCCTCCCTGGTTGCGTTCACCCAGATTGGATGCATTGGCATCGGCCTCAATTTCAGGTGCGCGTTGGATTTCTGGATTTCGGGGGGGGGGGGGGGGGAGCGCTTGGGCGAAGCTTTCCGCGGAAGAGGGATCGTACTTGACGGCACAGCGGCATGGCCCGCTTGCCCGTTCACGAAATTTCTCGGGCTGCCCCCCAGACCTGCTCGCAGCGAAGGCCTCATGGCGACCAACGCCGCCGCCCATCGGCACTGGTGAAGCAGATGCGGTCATCGTGCCCCCTGCCCCGCTCTGTGAGCGAGAGTTGTTCCCCCCGACCCGCTCCACCTCCGCTCCACTCGCTTTCCGGAGGAGCAGGAGTAGCAGGAAGAGGCCGGAGCGCCACATGAGGGGAAGTTGAGAGTATCTCCGGGGAGGGAAGGAACCGAAGGAGAGGCAGCAGCAGGAGCAGCACCACGAGTAGGACCGCGAGCGCACTCGAGTCTGGCGGCGGCAGAGCTGGCCGCCGTGTTCGGCGCTATGCCCTGTGGCAGTGAAAGCAGCACGACCTTTCGCCACAGCGCAAGACACAGTGCGACAGGCGCGCAGGCTCAGCATCTGCGAGCTGCGCCAGCTGCGTCGCCGACGTTCCCCGTGTGGCCAGCAGCACAGTGGGCAGCTGGGCAGCGGCAGTGCTGGGGCAGCCCCCTCGCGCGAGCCACCTCTGGGCACCGCCCTGGGCGGGAGCGCACCAGCCACGAGGAGGAGCACGGCGAGGAGGCACCGGAGGAGGCGGGGACGGAGAGGCTCAGCTCCCGCAGCACACGTCGCCTGGGGCCCCTCCGTGGCCTTCCCGAGGGCCTTCGGTGGGCCACACCCGCTGCGAGGCCCACTGGCCCAGGCGCGTGGCAGGCCCGCCGCGCGCAGCT